TGTCGTGTGTTGTGTGTCTGGGTCGTTCTTCTCAGAGGTGTGTCGTGTGTGTCGTGTGTCTGGGTCGTTCTTCTCAGAGGTGTCGTGTTGTGTGTCTGGGTGTTCTTCTCAGAGGTGTGTCGTGTGTGTGTGTCTGGTGTCGTTCTTCTCAGAGTGTGTGTGTCGTGTGTCGTGTGTCTGGGTCGTTCTTCTCAGAGGGTGTGTCGTGTGTCGTGTGTCGTGTGTCTGGGTCGTTCTTCTCAGAGGTGTGTCGTGTGTGTGTGTCTTCTTCTCAGAGGTGTGTCGTGTGTCGTGTGTCTGGGTCGTTCTTCTCAGAGGTGTGTCGTGTGTCGTGTGTGTGTGTCTGGGTCGTTCTTCTCAGAGGTGTGTCGTGTGTCGTGGGTGTCTGGGTCGTTCTCTCGTGTGTCGTGTGTCGTGTGTCTGGGTCGTTCTTCTCAGAGGTGTGTCGTGTGTCGTGTGTCTGGGTCATTCTTCTCAGAGGTGTGTCGTGTGTTGTGTGTCATGTGTTGTGTGTCGGGGCCTCAGCGTCTCTGAGCTTCGTGCAGTGGAACCTGCAGGAGCCTCAGACAAACGACAGGAACCAGGTTTGGTTTGTTTGTGAGTCTGTGACACAGAAGAAAGATTTTACTGTGGAACAAATAATCGAACCATCAGAGTTAAAGATCCTGTGGAAGAAGTTTCTTCACCATTTGCTGAAGTTTTATTTGGACTGATTCATGTTTGAAGAATGTTTAATCTCTTATTTTAATTTACAAGACGACATTTTGTCAAATCACTCGTCCTTCTCCAGTCTGATGTTCTTCATGGTGACACTCGTTTAGACCTGGTTTAGTCCTGGTTTAGACCTGGTTTAGTTCTGGTTTTGACCTGGTTTAGTCCTGGTTTAGACCTGGTTTAGTTCTGGTTTAGTCCTGGTTTAGACCTGGTTTAGTTCTGGTTTAGTCCTGGTTTAGACCTGGTTTAGTTCTGGTTTAGTCCTGGTTTAGACCTGGTTTAGTCCTGGTTTAGACCTGGTTTAGTTCTGGTTTAGTCCTGGTTTAGTCCTGGTTCAGTCCTGGTTCAGTCCTGCGTTGTGATTGGTTGAGGGTGTTGGGGGCGGGGTCAGAGGTTCCTGTGTTTGTGTTCACTTCCTGTCTGGATGGAGCTGTTTCCTGTGACTGGAGGACGACGGCTCCTCCTCCTCGTCTCTTCCTCTGCTGGAAAATTCACACTTAAAGTAAAAAACAGTAGAACATAGTATTTATATGTAAAAAGTACTCGAGTATTATAAGTACAAGTACTCAGACCCTGCTGAACGTGCACTTAAAGATACACTGTGTAACTTTTCCTCTGCTCTGGACATGATCTTCTGCACATTTCAACACGTTTAAAGTCGTTTTCTGACAGATTTAAGTTTTGATATTTTACATGTTGGTTGAGTTTTTACAGTTGCTGGTTTCCATGGAGACACACACATATTTAAACTCCTGTGTGAACTTTAAATCATGTTCTGACGTTCCCTCGTGTTTGTTTCATTCACATGTTTGAGTAAATCTTTATTATTCGTCTGTTTACATCTGAAAAACTCTCTGTTCCACCTCGTGATGTCACCAAGGTGATAGTTTCCTTTTCTCTTTAGTTCAGTCGAGTTCGGCTCCAGGACTGAAATGTTCCAGATGATTTTAGTGAAGGTGAAGTGTGGAGTTTAAAAACACAGTGGAGCACTTCCTGTATCACCACATGATGACATCACGAGGTGGAACAGAACGTTTTCTATTTGTGGGTTTGTGTGTGTGTGTTTGTGTGTGTGTGTGTGTCTGTATTTGTGTGTGTGTGTATTTGTGTGTGTGTGTTTGTGTGTGTGTGTGTGTCTGTGTGTGCGCTTGTGTGTGTGTGTGTGTGTCTGTGTGTGTATTTGTGTGTGTGTGTGTGTGTGTGTGTGTGTGTGTGTGTGTGTTGTGTGTGTGTTGTGTGTGTGTGTGTGCTGTGTGTGTGTGTTGTGTGTGTGTGTGTGTATGTGTGTGTGTGTGTGTGTGTGTGTGTGTGTGTGTGTGTGTGTGTGTGTGTGTGTGTGTGTGTGTGTGTGTGTGTGTGTGTGTGTGTGTGTGTATGTGTGTGTGTGTGTGTGTGTGTGTGTGTGTGTGTGTATGTGTGTGTGTGTGTGTGTATATGTGTGTGTGTGTGTGTGTGTGTAGTGTATGTGTGTGTGTGTGTGTGTGTGTGTGTGTGTGTGTGTGTGTGTGTGTGTGTGTGTGTGTGTGTGTGTGTGTGTGTGTGTGTGTGTGTGTGTGTGTGTGTGTGTGTGTGTGTGTGTGTGTGTGTGTGTGTGTGTGTGTGTGTGTGTGTGTGTATGTGTGTGTGTGTGTGTGTGTGTTGTGTGTGTGTGTGTGTGTGTGTGTGTGTGTGTGTGTGTGTGTGTGTGTGTGTGTGTGTGTGTGTGTGTGTGTGTGTGTGTGTGTGTGTGTGTGTGTGTGTGTGTGTGTGTGTGTGTGTGTGTGTGTGTGTGTGTGTGTGTGTGTGTGTGTTGTGTGTTGTGTGTGTGTGTGTGTGTATGTGTGTGTGTGTGTGTTTGTGTGTGTGTGTGTGTGTGTGTGTGTGTGTGTGTGTGTTTGTGTGATTTGTCTGAGTGTGTATGTGTGTCTGTAGATTTAGTGTGTGTTTGTGTTGTGTGTGTGTGTCTTTTGTGTGTTTTGTGTTTTGTTTTTATTGTCTTGTGTGTGTGTTATTTGTGTGTTTTGTGTGTGTTGTGTTGTTTGTTTGTGTGTGTGGTTGTTGTGTGTTGTGTGTGTGTGTGTGTGTGTTTGTGTGTTTTATGTTTTTTTCATGTGTGTTTGTTTTGTTTTGGAGCTCGAGTTTTTGTCTGGAGTTTTTTTCAGTTGTTTTTTTTCCTCGTTTTTCTGTTTCGTCTGACTTTTTTTTCTTTTTTTTTCTCGTGTTTTTTTTCTAGTTTTTTTCCATTGTTTTTTCTTTGTGTTTTTTCTTCGTGTCTTTTTTCGTTTTTTTTTCATGTTTTTTTTTTTTTCCTCTTTTTTTTTGTTTTTTTTTTTTTTTTTTCTTGTTTTTTTTTCTTGTTTTTTTTTTTTTTCCTCTTTGTTTTTTTTTTTCTTGTGTTTTTTTTTTCTTTTTTTTGGTTTTTTTTTTTTCCTCGTGTTTTTTTTTTTCTTGTGTTTTTTTTCTTGTATTTTTTTCGTGTGTTTTTTTTTCTCGTGTTTTTTTTCTCATATTTTTTTTTCTTTTTTTTTTTCTCGTGTTTTTTTTTTCCCTTGTGTTTTTTTTTCTCGTGTTTTTTTCTTTTTTTTTTTCATTTTTTTTTCTCGTGTTTTTTTTTTTTTCTTGTGTTATTTTTTTTCTCGTGTTTTTTTTTCCCTTGTTTTTTTTTTCTCGTGTTTTTTTCTCATATTTTTTTTTCTTTTTCTCATGTTTTTTTTTTTCTTGTGTTTTTTTTCTCATTTTTTTTTTTTTTTTTTTTTTCTTGTTTTTTTTTTCTCGTGTTTTTTTTTTTTTCTTGTGTTTTTTTTGTTTTGTTTTTTTATTTATTTATTTTGTTTTGTTTTTTTTCTTCCTGGTGTTTCCCTCGAGTCGTTTGTTTCCATCGTTGCCGTGGCTCCCGGGGGCCGGAGCGGACGACAGGGGCAGGGGCAGGTGTAGTGTTACCTGTCACCTTCGGGTGCACCTGCGTGATCCGGTTACAGGGGGCGGGGCTTAGGGGGGAAGGGGGCGGGGCCAGAGCCGAGCTGCTGCTGCACAGGTGTGTCCCGGAGAGAGAGAAAAAGAAAGAAAGAAAGAAAGAAAGAAGAGAGAGAAGGAAAAACAGAACACGAACGACAGGACGAACGACAGGACGAACGACAGAGAGAGGAGCGGAGGAGTGAGGGTCCGGGCGGGGGCGGCAGGACAGGTGAGGAGAGAGAGAGAACGGACGACTGGAGAGAGAGAGAGAGAGAGGGAAGGACAGAGGGAAGGAGAGAAGGAGGGACGGAAAGACAAGGAGAGGGAGGGACAAACAGAGAGAGTGTGAGAGAGAAGAAGGGATAGACAGAGAAGGAGCGAGAGAGCGATAGAGGAGGGAGAGACAAGAGCGAGCGTGAGAGAAGGAGGAAGAGACAGGGAAGGAGGGAGGGAGAGGGAAAGAGAGAGGAGAGAGGGAGGAGAGAGGGAGAGAAGGAAGGAGAGGGAGAGGAGAGAGGGATCAGGAAAGAGGAGGGGAGAAGAAGGAAGAGGGAGCAAGGAAAGGAAGGATGAAGGGACAGAGATAGTGAGAGAGAGAGTAGAGAGAGGGATGAGAGATAAAGAGGGAGAGAGGGATGGAGAGAAAGGGACAGAGGAACAGGAGAGAGAAGGAGAGAGAGACAGGGAAGAAGGGAGGTAGAGAGGGAAAGAGAGAGGAGAGGGAAAGAAATAAAGAGAGGGGGAGAGAAGAAGGGAGAGAGAGCGAAGGAGGGAAGGAGGAAGGGATGGAGATAGTGTGAGAGAAGGAGGGAGAGACAGAAGGAGGGAGAAAGGGACAGAGAGAGAGGAGAGGGAGAAGGAGAGGGGAGAGGGAGAAAGGGTGAGAGGAGAAGAGGAAGAGAGAGGAGGGTGAGAGGGAGAGAAGGAGAGGAAAGAGAGAGACAGAGAATGGAGAGAGGGAAAGGAGAGAGAGAGAGGAGGGAGAGAGTGAGGAGGTGGAGGTATAGAGAGAGAGTTGTTAGGTGGAGGAGTAGAGAGATAGAGAATGGAGAGAGTTGTTGAGGTGGAGGAGTGTCTCACGTGTCTCTGCAGGTTCTGGAGTCGCAGCCTGAGGAACTGGTTTTTACAAACGAAAGATTCACCGAAAACTCACAGAACGACAGGGACAGAACGACAGGGACAGAACGACAGGGACAGAACGACAGGGACAGAACGAGCACCTGCCGAGGCTCCGGGAGGGCATCTGACTCTCGGAGCGTCGTCGTCCTGTGGCTCCTGTGGCTCCTGCGGCTCCTGCGGCTCCTGCGGCTCGAGCGCGACATGGAATAATGTGAAAATGTTTGTTCCCGCAGACGGACGCCCCCATGAAGACGACCTGGTACTGCCCCCTGGACCTGGTGAGGAGAAACATCACACCTTCACTCTCACTTCTGTCTCAGGGTTTTCTCGTGTCCTTGGGCAAGACACTTGCACTTACAGACACTGCAAAAAAAACCTGCCCAGAACGGAAGATCTAAACTCTTAAATCGATCAGAAAAAACTTAAACATAGTTTTCATGAAGCAAAATCATTTTACTGACAAGTTCATCTTAAAATAACCGACTCCAGACGAGACTGAAGCGTCTGAGCTCTGGGTTCACGAGCTGCAAATAAGTTTATAAATGTTTGAGTTTGAGATAAACAAACTTAAATTATCGAGTAAAACTGTGTCACTGAATCTAAAAACAAGTGAAGTGTTTCAGGGAAACTCTGGTAAACAGATTGTAGTTTCTTCTTTTAAACATTTAAAGTCAAATTTTCTGACGAGTCGAGTCTTGGAAGAAATAAATGTGACACTTTTTAAGACGATAAAACCAATTCAGAACCAGTGAGTCGATAATAAATCTATAATAACCTGATTAAAGTTTTAAAATCTTGTCCTGATCAAAGACATTTACAGTGTGGTGTGAAAGTTGGTGCAGATGATCAGCCTCACATGTGTCAGTCTGTCCCAGGGCGGCTGTGGCTTTAACAGTGAGTCTTTGTGTTGAAATGCGCCGTTTAAATCCAGGGCTTCATTTATTCATGTTTTAGTTTGATTCATTAAGATGGAATTAAACTAAAACTGTTACAGACGAGAGAGAAAAGCAGCAGAAGAACACATCGTCTGAAGAGTCTCGCTGTCGGTTTGTGTACGGAAGCTGAGAGGGTCACAACAAACGCCAACAAATACAAACGCCACAACATGACAAAATAAGCCACAACACATTAAAAAGCCACAACAGAAGTGACCGTGGGACTCTATTTTCCGACGGACCGATCAAGCGGCAAGTGAAGAAGAAGAACTACAACGTGAAATGAATAATGATAAAACAATAAATTACTTTTATTTACATTTCCAACTTCTCCGTTCCTTTACTTTTCATGTTGTAGTTCTTCTTCTTCACTTGCCGCTTGATCGGTCCGTCGGAAAATAGAGTCCCGTGGTCACTTCTGTTGTGGCTTTTTAATGTGTTGTGGCTTTTTAATGTGTTGTGGCTTTTTAATGTGTTGTGGCTTTTTAATGTGTTGTGGCTTTTTTTGGTTTGTTGTGGCTTTTTGTTGTGTTGTCACATTTGTATTTGTTGCGGCGTTGGAGTTTGTTGTGACCCTCTCGGCTTCTGTATTTGTGGGACTGTTTTTCTGTGTAAATGTACATTTTCAACCAACAAACTCCACAAAATAGAAACATTCTTCATGAACAATTTATCCACAAATATCAAGAGAAGAAAAAACAAAACTTAAAGAAACAACGAGTCACATGAGTCACACAACAAACTCAACTCATGTTCTGATCCTGAAGAAAACAGAAGGAACTTGTTCAGACTCGTTCTACTGTTAATATTAAAAATCAAATTAATGATGTCGATATTTACACAGACACAGATTTGTGACGTTTAAATGTGACACATGTGACTGTGAACATCTGTAACATTCAAACTGCACAACTCGATCTACATCAGGGATCTTCATCTTTTGTGTCCTGTGAACTTCTTTATAAAATGAGACCAAACCTCAGACGCCGTGTTCAGGTGTTCAGGTGTTCAGATGTTCAGAGGTTCAGTTCAGAGGTTCAGAGGTTCAGGTGTTCAGACGTTCAGAGGTTCAGGTGTTCAGACGTTCAGATGTTCAGACGTTCAGATGTTCAGGTGTTCAGATGTTCAGATGTTCAGATGTTCAGATGTTCAGATGTTCAGATGTTCAGATGTTCAGATGTTCAGGTGTTCAGATGTTCAGACGTTCAGTGTTCATTCAGATGTTCAGGTGTTCAGATGTTCAGATGTTCGATGTTCAGTGTGTTCAGTTCATGTTCAGAGTTCAGATGTTCAAGACGTTCAGGTGTTCAGACGTTCAGGTGTTCAGATGTTCAGTTCAGTGTTCAGGTTTCAGTGTTCAGTGTTCAGATGTTCAGATGTTCAGATGTTCAGATGTTCAGGTGTTCAGACGTTCAGGTGTTCAGATGTTCAGGTGTTCAGATGTTCAGATGTTCAGATGTTCAGGTGTTCAGACGTTCAGGTGTTCAGACGTTCAGATGTTCAGATGTTCATGTTCAGGTGTTCATGTTCAGTTCAGATGTCGTGTTCAGGTGTTCAGATGTTCAGGTGTTCAGATGTTCAGGTGTTCAGGTGTTCAGGTCCTGTTCACATACAGAGTCTGTGTGGACGTGTGTTCAGGACGACGTCACAAGTTGAAAAAGCTGAACTTTTGGCATCAGACTCACCGCATCAACCAATTAAACTCTGTGTGTCTGTGTCTCTGTGTGTCTGTGTCTCTGTGTGTCTGTGTCTCTGTCTGTGTCTCTGTGTGTCTGTGTCTGTGTGTCTGTGTGTGTCTGTGTGTGTCTGTGTCTGTGTCTGTGTGTCTGTGTGTCTGTGTCTGTGTGTCTGTGTCTGTGTGTCTGTGTCTGTGTGTCTCAGTCGACTGTGGTGGAGGAAGAGGAGGAGGGAATCATCTACACTGTGATGGTGAAACCTCAGCACAGCTCCTCCTACAGCCCCAGGGTGAGTCTGACACACACTGCACCTTCACACATCCGCAGGTCACACACCAGACACACACACACCAGACACACACCAGACACAAACACACACAAACACACACCAGACACACACCAAACACACACAAACACACACCAGACACACACAAACACACACAAACACACACCAGACACACACAAACACACACCAGACACACACACACAACACACACCACACACACACAACACACACACACACAGACACACACACAGACACAACACCAACACACACCAGACACACACACACACCAGACACACACACACCAGACACACACACACCAGACACACACCACACACACACCAGACACACACCAGACACACACACACACACACACACCAGACACACACACACACACACAACACACACACACACACACACCAGACACACACACAAGACACACACCAGACACACACACACCAAACACACACCAGACACACACAAACACACACCAGACACACACAAACACACACACACACACCAGACACACACCACAACACACACACACACACACACACACACCAGACACACACACACCAGACACACACACAACACACACCAGACACACACCAGACACACACCAGACACACACCAGACACACACCAGTGTCGGGGCGTCAGGTCCTGTAAGTTTTTCTCTGTTGGCCTAAAAAAATCTCGGAATCACAAACTGATGTGAATTATATTATTAAATAATTCCAAATGTTCTGTTTTTGTCCTTTCAGAGTTTTTCCGACACTTGTGCTGCTTCCACACGTGTGTTTTCATATTAAAACATTTGACCAATCACATTTCAGCATCACTTGTTGCCGGGCAGATTCTCAAACACAAAACAAACGTCCATGAAACTGTCGCTTCAACCAATCAGATTTTGAGTTGGTGTCACCAGGAACTTTAACAACGAACGAGGACACCGAGTCCAGACCCAGAGAGAAAACCAGGACTGAACCAGGACTGAACCAGGACTGAACCAGGACTGAACCAGGACTGAACCGGGACTAAACCGGGACTGAACCGGGACTAAACCGGGACTAAACCGGGACTGAACCGGGACTGAACCGGGACTGAACCGGGACTAAACCGGGACTGAACCAGGACTGAACCAGGACTAAACCGGGACTAAACCAGGACTAAACCAGGACTGAACCAGGACTGTTTGTCGGGACCGACCTGTGCCCATGTAAACTGTGAGGTGACTGCAGACAAAAGGACTGCGTGCAGTTTACGCGGGCGGGTCAGTCCCGACAACAGTCCTGGTTTAGTCCTGGTTTAGTTCTGGTTTAGTTCCGGTTTAGTCCTGGTTTAGTCCTGGTTTAGGCCCAGTGCTCGTCTCTTTATCGTGTGTATGATGTAAATATAAACAGTTTTTGAGGAGTATTGGAGGATTGTTTCAGACGGAGTTCGACTGAAGCTCTCGGTGTGAGACGCTCCAACACTGAAACACACGATCCAAACACAAACGACAAAAGTAAAAAACTGATTCTTAAAATATTTTAGGTTCAGTACATAATTTTAAAAACTTCAGAGGATGCGATGGCTCAGCACGAAAAGTTTATAAGAACTTTTAACAACTGTCAGAGACCAGAGCCCAGACTGTATAAAAGGAAGACAAACAGGAAGTGAGTGTGGGCGCACTTCCGGCTCCATGGGCTCTGGCTCCAGTTGACTTGACATTGAAACGCCGTGTGTGGAGCGTCGGCTTCGTCCTCCGGAGCAGAGCTGTGATGTAGTTTCTTGTGTTTTCTGGCGCAGCCGGGAGCGACTCGGACTCAGAGCGTGAAGGCCGGGACCGAGGAGAAGCTGGTGCTGCACCTGCTCCACTGCCTCTCCACCGGCGACGCCACCTACGTCAGCATCTTCCTCTGCACCTACCGCTCCTTCATCAGCACCCAGCGCGTCCTGGACATCCTCACTGACCGGTACTTTCACTTTCACTTTCACTTTCACTTACACTTACACTTGCACTTGCACTTACACTGAAGGCCGACGCACTACAGGAGAATTTACTCGATTTTGACCGTGATTTGCTTCTCTACTTTGTGTCTTGGTCTTTACGTCAGATCGTATCCATCAAAAATCAGCGACACTACGATAACAGACGATAAAACAAAGCATCAGGACAGAGAGAAGCAAAATACAAACTCAGGAAACAGCAAAAGTAATGATTAGACTTTATTGTTCTCGTCTGTAAAGTGTTAAATGTAAAGTGCAGCGTCTCGTCCACATTCTCCACAGAATTTCTGCTCCACAAATAATGAGTCCAGTCACACAAACGTCTGAACTGTGACTCCAGTTTTTTGAGTCGTAGTTTAAAAGTAAAAAGATGAGTTTGTTTGGTCACACAAGAAACAGAAAACACTGTGGAGCCAATTAAAAAACATTAAAACATCCTGTGTGTGTGTCCGTGTGTGTGTGTGACCGTGTGTGTGTGTGTGTGTGTGTGTGTCCGTGTGTGTGTGTGTCCGTGTGTGTCCGTGTGTGTGTGTGTGTGTGTGTGTGTCCGTGTGTGTGTGACCGTGTGTGTGTGTGTGTGTGTGACCGTGTGTGTGTGTGACCGTGTGTGTGTGTGTGTGTCTGTGTGTGTGTGTCCGTGTGTGTGTGTCCGTGTGTGTGTGACCGTGTGTGTGTGTGACCGTGTGTGTGTGTCCGTGTGTGTGTGACCGTGTGTGTGTGTGTGTGTGTGTGTGTGTGTGTCCGTGTGTGTGTGACCGTGTGTGTGTGTCCGTGTGTGTGTGTGTGACCGTGTGTGTGTGACCGTGTGTGTGTGTGTCCGTGTCCGTGTGTGTCCGTGTGTGTGTGTGTCCGTGTGTGTCTGTGTGTGTGTGTGTGTGTCCGTGTGTGTGTGACCGTGTGTGTGTGTGTGTGTGTGTGTGTGTGTGTGTGTGACCGTGTGTGTGTGTGTGTGTGTGTGTGACCGTGTGTGTGTGACCGTGTGTGTGTGTGTGTGTGTGTGTGACGTGTGTGTGTGTCCGTGTGTGTGTGTGTGTGTGTGTGACCGTGTGTGTGTGTGTGACCGTGTGTGTGTGTGACGTGTGTGTGTGTGTCCGTGTGTGTGTGACCGTGTGTGTGTGACCGTGTGTGTGTGTGTGTGTGTGTGTGACCGTGTGTGTGTGTCCGTGTGTGTGTGACCGTGTGTGTGTGTGTGTCCGTGTGTGTGTGTCTGTGTGTGTCCAGGCTGGAGGACCCCCCGGGCAGCAGTGAGTCCAGCCCCACCAGACAAGCCTTCAACAGGTGAGTCCCGACCAATCAGAGCTCAGGAAACACCTGACAGGAAGTGACTTATGGACAAATAAAGAAACAATAACACAATTCTACAAAAATATACAAAAACATGATGTGTGTGTACCTGTGTGTGTGTACCTGTGTCCGTGTGTGTGTCTGTGCCCGTGTGTGTGTCTGTGCCCGTCTGTGTGCCCGTGTGTGTGTGTACCTGTGTCCGTGTGTGTGTCTGTGCCTGTGTGTGTGTCTGTGCCCGTGTGTGTGTGTGTGTCTGTGCCCGTGTGTGTGCCCGTGTGTGTGTGTGTGTGTGTCTGTGTGTGTGTCTGTGCCCTTGTGTGTGTGTGTCTGTGCCCGTGTGTGTGTGTGTGTCTGTGCCCGTGTGTGTGCCCTTGTGTGTGTGTGTCTGTGCCTGTGTGTGTGTGTCTGTGCCCGTGTGTGTGTCCGTGTGTGTGTCTGTGCCCGTGTGTGTGCATGTGTCTGTGTCTGTGTGTGTGTGTCTGTGCCTGTGTGTGTGCCCGTGTGTGTGCCCGTGTGTGTGTGTACCTGTGTGTGTGTGTACCTGTGTGTGTGTCTGTGCCCGTGTGTGTGTCCGTGTGTGTGTGTACCTGTGTGTGTGTGTACCTGTGTGTGTGTCTGTGCCCGTGTGTACCTGTGTGTGCCCTTGTGTGTGTGTGTCTGTGCCTGTGTGTGTGTGTCTGTGCCCGTGTGTGTGTCCGTGTGTGTGTCTGTGCCCGTGTGTGTGCATGTGTCTGTGTCTGTGTGTGTGTGTCTGTGCCTGTGTGTGTGCCCGTGTGTGTGTCCGTGTGTGTGTGTACCTGTGTGTGTCTGTGCCTGTGTGTGTGTCTGTGCCCGTGTGTGTGCCCGTGTGTGTGTACCTGTGTGCGCAGGGCGGTGTGCAGCGTGTTCACCTCGTGGCTCTCGGAGTACCCTGAGGACTTCGAGGTTCTGGATCCTTCGTCTCTGCTGCGTCTCGCTCCTCTCGTCCCGTCTCCTGAGCTCCGAGCGAAACTCCTGCAGCGAGCGGAAGAACAGAGCGAGAGACAACTGCTGCCCCCCGCGCCCAAAGGTCTGTCCAACTGTCCCCAACTGTCCCCGACTGTCCCCGACTGACTGTCCCCCACCTGCCCCCCGCGCCCAAAGGTCTGTCCAACTGTCCAACTGTCCCCGACTGTCCCCGACTGTCCCCGACTGTCCCCAACTGTCCCCAACTGTCCCCCACCTGCCCCCCCGCGCCCAAAGGTCTGTCCAACTGTCCCCGACTGTCCCGACTGTCCCCCACCTGCCCCCCGCGCCCAAAGGTCTGTCCAACTGTCCCCGACTGTCCTCGACTGTCCCCGACTGTCCCCGCGCCCAAGGTCTGTCCAACTGTCCAACTGTCCCGACTGTTGTCCCTCTGTCTGTCCCCACTGTCCCCCACCTGCCCCCCGCGCCCAAAGGTCTGTCCAACTGTCCCCGACTGTCCTCGACTGTCCCCCGCGCCCAAAGTCTGTCTGTCCGACTGTCCCGACTGTCCCCGACTGTCCCGACTGTCCCCACCTGCCCCCGCGCCCAAAGGTCTGTCCAACTGTCCGACTGTCCCGACTGTCCGACTGTGTCCAACTGTCCCCGACTGACCCCCGCGCCCAAAGTCTGTCCAACTGTCCCGACTGTCCTCGACGTCCCCGACTGTCCCCCACCTGCCCCCCGCGCCCAAAGGTCTGTCCAACTGTCCAACTTCCCGACTGTCCCCGACTGTCCCCACCTGCCCCCGCGCCCAAAGGTCTGTCCAACTGTCCCCGACTGTCCCCCACCTGCCCCCCGCGCCCAAAGGTCTGTCCAACTGTCCCGACTGTCCTCGACTGTCCCCGACTGTCCCCCACCTGCCCCCCGCGCCCAAAGGTCTGTCCAACTGTCCCCGACTGTCCTCGACTGTCCCCGACTGTCCCCGACCTGCCCCCCGCGCCCAAAGGTCTGTCCAACTGTCCCCGACTGTCCTCGACTGTCCCCAACTGTCCCCCATCTGCCCCCGCGCCCAAAGGTCTGTCCAACTGTCCAACTGTCCCCGACTGTCCCCGACTGTCCCCACCTGCCCCCGCGCCCAAAGGTCTGTCCAACTGTCCCCGACTGTCCCCGACTGTCCCGACTGTCCCCCACCTGCCCCCCGCACCCAAAAGTCTGTCCAACTGTCCCCGACTGTCCCCAACTGTCCCCGACTGTCCCCCACCTGCCCCCCCGCGCCCAAAGGTCTGTCCAACTGTCCCCGACTGTCCCCAACTGTCCCCCCCACCTGCCCCCCGCGCCCAAAGGTCTGTCCAACTGTCCCCGACTGTCCCCGACTGTCCCCCACCTGCCCCCCGCGCCCAAAGGTCTGTCCAACTGTCCCCGACTGTCCCCGACTGTCCCCGACTGTCCCCGACTGTCCCCCACCTGCCCCCCGCACCCAAAGGTCTGTCCAACTGTCCCCGACTGTCCCCCACTGCCCCACCTGCCCCCCGCGCCCAAAGGTCTGTCCAACTGTCCCCGACTGTGTCCCCGACTGTCCTCGACTGTCCCCAACTGTCCCCCACCTGCCCCCCGCACCCAAAGGTCTGTCCAACTGCCCCCGACTGTCCCCCGCGCCTAAAGGTCTGTCCAACTGTCCCCGACTGTCCCCCGCGCCTAAAGGTCTGTCCAACTGTCCCCGACTGTGTCCCCGACTGTCCCAACTGTCCCCAACTGTCCCCCACCTGCCCCCCGCGCCCAAAGGTCTGTCCAACTGTCCAACTGTCCCCGACTGTCCCCGACTGTCCCCCACCTGCCCCCGCGCCCAAAGGTCTGTCCAACTGTCCCCGACTGTCCCCCGCGCCTAAAGGTCTGTCCAACTGTCCCCGACTGTGTCCCCGACTGTCCCCACCTGTTCCCAACTGCCCCCCGCACCCAAAGGTCTGTCCCACTGAGTCTCCAAATGTACCCCCCACTGTGTCCTACTGTCATTCACTGTGTCCCAGTGTCCCCCATTGTCCCTCTGTCCCCCCCACACACAGGCCTGTCCTCATGTGTCTCCATGTGAAAAGACAAAAGTAACAGCAGTTTTGCCGTTTTCCTCTGACCAAAGTGTTTGTCCACAGAGGCTCCTCCCCCTCCTCCTCCGGACCCCGCCTCTTTTGAGCCCACCCACATCCTGGGCTTCCCCACGGCGCTCATCGGCGAACAGCTCACCCGCATCGAGACGGTGAGTCCAAACACGCCAGGGCCGCCCCCGTCAGAGCCGCCTCCACCTCCTCCACCACACCTCCTCCACCACACCTCCTCCACCACACCACCTCCTCCACCCTCCCTCCACCACCTCCACCACCCCCCACCACACCTCCACCACACTCCTCCACCACCACCTCCACCACCTCCTCCACCACACCCTCCACCACCACACTCCACCTCCACCACCTCCTCCACCACACCTCCTCCACCACACCTCCACCACACCTCCACACACCTCCACCTCCCCTCCACCACACCACCTCACCACCCCACCACCTCCTCCACCTCCTCCACACCTCCTCCACCTCCACCTCCTCCACCACACCCACCTCCACCACACCACCTCCTCCACCACACCTCCTCCACCACCACCACCACACCTCCTCCACCACACCTCCTCCACCACCACACCTCCTCCACACCTCCACCACCCACCTCCACCCACCACCTCCACCACCTCCACCACACCTCCTCCACCACACTCCTCCACCTCCACCACCACACCTCCTCACACCACCACACCTCCTCCACCACACCTCCTCCACCTCCACCACCACACCACCTCCACCACACCACCTCCACCACCACCACCTCCACCACACCTCCTCCACCACACCGCCTCCACACACCTCCACCACACCACCACCTCCACCACACCTCACCCACCACCTCCACCACGCCACCTCCACCACACACACCTCCACCACGCCACCTCCACCACCTCCACCACACCTCCTCCACCACCTCCACCACACCACGTCCACCACCTCCACCACACCACCGTCCACCACCTCCTCCACCACCTCCACCACGCCACCTCCACCTCCATTGTGTACCTGCAGTATATTTGTATCATCTGAGTCTGGTCGTGGTGGTCGTGCTCGTGTCTCGTTGTCCAGGAGCTGTTCGTGCGTCTGGTGCCCTACCACTGCCTGGGCTCGCTCTGGTCTCAGAGGGATAAAAAAGGGCGCGAGGGGCAGTGCTGGTCCGTGCGGGCGACCGTCCGACAGTTCAACAGACTCACCAACGCCGTCCTGGCATCGTGCCTCTGGAACACCCGCCTGCGCAGCCACCAGAGGGCGCGCCTGCTCCACAAGTGGATCAGCGTGGCAGAGGTGAGGGCAGCGGGCACAGGGCAGAGGACAGAGGGCAGAGGACACAGGACAGAGGGTACAGGGCAGAGGACAGAAGGCACAGGGCAGAGGACACAGGACAGAGGGTACAGGGCAGCGGGCAGAGGGCACAGGGCAGAGGACAGAGGACACAGGGCAGAGGGCACAGGGCAGAGGGCAGAGGACACAGGGCAGAGGGCACAGGGCAGAGGGCAGAGGACACAGGGCACAGGGCACAGGGCAGAGGGCACAGGGCAGGGCACAGGGCAGAGGGCACAGGGCAGAGGACAGAGGGCACAGGGCAGAGGGCACAGGGCAGAGACAACAAGATGAGTGTTTTCATTAGTTAAATAAGAGTAAAGTAAGAGTAAAACAAGAGTAAAGTTACTTCTGTCATTACTCGAGTAGATGAAGAGTCCAGGAAATGACTCGAGTAAAAAAAAAGTGTTCGGCGAATTTGTTTAAATCACAGAAACTTGATCAAAAATCAAAACAACAAAATATTAAACTGTAAAAAATATCAATTTATTTGATGTTTTTGACCCTGTCTGTTTTTGACCCTGTCTGTGTGTGACCCTGTCTGTGTTTGACCCTGTCTGTTTTTGACCCTGTCTGTGTTTGACCCTGTCTGTTTTTGACCCTGTCTGTGGCAGGAGTGTCGCTCGAGGAAAAACTTCTCGTCTCTTTACGCCATCGTGTCGGCGCTGCAGAGTAACCCCCTGCACCGCCTCAGGAGGAGCTGGCAGCACGCAGACAGGTGAGACCCTGACACGCGGACAGGTGAGACCCTGACACGCGGACAGGTGAGACCCTGACACGCGGACAGGTGAGACCCTGACACGCGGACAGGTGAGACCCTGACACGCGGACAGGTGAGACCCTGACACGCGGACAGGTGAGACCCTGACACGCGGACAGGTGAGACCCTGACCATGAGCTCTGGGCCCATGACAGAAACAGGACAGAATCACGTCCACAGCAGCAGCGTCACAAACGTGTTCAAGTATCTGAGTATTTCACTCTGTGTCCTGTTGTCTTCTGTTCTGTCAGAGAGTCTCTGAAGAAGTACGAGGAGCTCGCCGAGATCTTCTCAGACAAAGACAACTACTCCCAGAGCCGAGAGCTGCTCAAAGAGGTGAGGGTCAGAGGTCGGAGGTCAGGATGGTCACAGGTTCTCTGATCTTTTCACAATCACAGTTTAAATGATTTTGCTGCAGTTTAAATTTTAAAAGAAACTCGTGGATCTGTGTTTGTTCTCGCAGGAGGGCACGTCCAAGTTCGCCAACCTCGACAACAGACTGAACAACAAGAACGCCTCCAAAGTAAGTGCCCCTCCCCCTGACCCCACCGTGCCCTTTTGACCCTTATGCCCCTGACCCCCCCGTGACCTGGTGACCCTGACCCCGCCCCTGTCCTGTCAGTCCTCTGCCCAGGGAACAGTGCCGTACCTGGGGCTCTTCCTCACAGACCTCACCATGCTGGACACGGCCGTGAAGGACCGACTCGACGTGAGTCTGACGCTTTTGACGCTTTCTATATTTGGTTGTTTTTGTTCTGTTTGTAGTTTTGCACTTTAAAAAAAAAGAGTGTTATGCAATTTGATTTATTTTTGGATCTTTTCTCTCATAAACTCTGTTGTTTTTACAGAACGGATACATCAACTTCGACAAGAAGAGGAGGGTGAGTCCACAGGCTCCACACGACACACGACACACTTTTACTCTTTTAAAATCAAGAGACCTTTTACACTTTACAAATATTTAAACTCTGTGACCCCTGAGTGACCCCTGACCTCTGGACCTCTGGTGTGACCTCTGACCTCTGTTGTTCTCTGCAGGAGTTTGAGATCTTGGCTCAGATTCGCCTCCTGCAGTCGTCGTGTAAGAACTGCACGTTCCGCACAGAGCCGGCCTTTGTGCGCTGGTACCACAGTGTGCCCAAGCTGTCCGAGGCCGACAGGTGCGCACCTGTCACTCTGATCTAGACTGTCATGTCTGTAACGTCTTACATGTAACGTCATTTCTGGACCATCAGCCGTTATTTTTCTCTCAAACTTTGAACCCTACGGCGTAAACAACGAAGCGCCGAATTTACAGACGGATTATTTGTTTATTTGTTTTTGTTCTTGAGGCAATAAAAAGAACAATTTGTTTGGGCTCTGACATTTCATATTTCAAAAGAAGTTCTCTGCCCCCGCCCCCTCGCTCCGCCCCGCCCCCTCACTCCGCCCCTCGCTCCGCCCGCCCTCGCCCGCCCCCTCGCCCGCCCCTCGCCCCGCCCCCCGCCCCCGCCCCTCGCTCCGCCCTGCAGTTCTGCTCGGCTGAGGAGTCGAGAACAAGAACAAGAACTGAACAACTGGACCTGAACATCATGACGTCAGTTTGTTGGTGCAAGAACAAAGTTGTGATGTTCTTCTGAAACATGAACAGGCGTCTAGAGCTGCTCAGAGGAAGTCGCTGTTTGACTGAGTTTTGAACAGTTATTTTTGTGCTTCGTGCACAAACCCTCATGAAAAACCTGATGTGTCTGTGGAAGGAAACAGCTGCACGAGAACGTCCAGGATGAGACGAGCCGACTCAGCGTAAAAAGACGTGGACACATGCGGCTCATAGACAAGTGCAGCATATATATTTATACTTTTAATTCTTTTAAAATGTATTTGGTGCAGCTTAAATTCAGGTGCACTCGATAGTCCAGAAGTGACGATACATAAACCTCTAAATACAGACTTATACATATATGTATGTATATATGTATATATGTACATATGTATTTATTTATTTATAACATGTCGTGTGTTTACAGTTACAGATTGTCCAATGAGATCGAAGCTGCAGGTGAACCCGGCTCCCGCGGAGCCACGCCCACTGTCATCATCACACAGTGCCCCGAGTGAGTACACATCGATACTGATATGATGCTGATGCTGATGCTGATACCGATACTGATACTGGGGAGACGGGAGCTCAGTTAGTGGAGAGTTTGTCACTGACCCACAGGTTGGTGGTACGATTCCAAATCCTGACTGTTTTTTGGTTGGGGGACTCTCTGGATTCAGGTTCAGATTCAGATTCAGATTCTAAATCTAAATCTGATTTAGATTCAGGTCCAGGTCCAGGTCCAGGTCCAGTCTGTGGTGGAGCAGGAGTTGAGTCTGAGTCTGCGTCTTCTCTAATAAATGGTGTGTTTTCAGGCTGAGTGGTTCTCGCTCGAGTCTCCCCTCAGACTCAGACGCTCAGTTCGACTTCTCGTCTCCTGTGAACCACCTGCTCTCCAAACTCACCAAGGTAACGCCCCCTGCTGCCCCACGGGAGAACTGCACCCGCCGCCGCGTCAAACAGACACAGTACTGACAGTCTGTGAACTAACTGTGTCTCTGTCCTCTGTCCCTCTGTCCTCTGTCCTCTGTCCTCTGTCCCTCTGTCCTCTGTCCCTCTGTCCTCTGTCCCTCTGTCCCTCTGTCCCTCTGTCCCTCTGTCCCTCTGTCCTCTGTCCTCTGTCCTCTGTCCTCTGTCCCTCTGTCTCCCTCTGTCCTTCTGTCCTCTGTCCTCTGTCCTTCTGTCCTTCTGTCCCTCTGTCCCTCTGTCCCTCTGTCCTCTGTCCTCTGTCCCTCTGTCCTCTGTCCTCTGTCCTCTGTCCTCTGTCCCTGTTCTGTCCCTCTGTCCCTCTGTCCCTCTGTCCTCTGTCCCTCTGTCCCCTCTGTCCCTCTGTCCCTCTGTCCCTCTGTCCCTCTGTCCTCTGTCCTCTGTCCCTCTGTCCCTCTGTCCCTCTGTCCTCTGTCCTCTGTCCCTCTGTCCCTCTGTCCTCTGTCCTCTGTCCTCTGTCCTCTGTCCTCTGTCCTTCTGTCCTCTGTCCCTCTGTCCCTCTGTCCTCTGTCCTTCTGTCCTCTGTCCTCTGTCCCTCTGTCCTCTGTCCCTCTGTCCCTCTGTCCAGCACATGCGCTCTCCCTCGGTGTCCTGTCTGGACGTGGACTCGTCCCCGTCCTCGGCGGAGCCCACCCCGGCCGCCCTCGCCCCCTCGTCCCCGACCAAGTCCCACCGGCGCTCGGCCTCGTGCGGGACGTCCCCCGCAGGTCCTCAGGGCTCGGGGCCCGACATGAGAATCATCCGCATCCGCATGGACCTGCAGGACGGAAACCTGTACCGCAGCATCCTGGTACTGACTAGACTACTGTGTGTGTGTGTGTGTGTGTGTGTGTGTGTGTGTCTGTGTGTGTGTGTGTGTGTGTGTGTGTGTCTGTGTGTCCGTGTGTGTGTCTGTGTGTGTGTGTGTATGTGTGTGTGTGTGTGTGTGTGTCTGTGTGTGTTTATTATAAATAAGTTAAGTGCTGCACCGGGTCAAATATTTGCTGAAACAGGTGGGTTTAAATGTTCTGGAATTTTCCAGGCAGGTTTGTGGGCGGGTTGTGATCACCCACCTGCAGGTCACGTGAATCAAATGAACGACGAAAGAGAGAAAAATACTTGAGGCGCGTCAAGGGCGTCTTTTTCCCTGAACGATGGACCAGACTGAGAGAGACTTGAGTGTTTTTATGACATAAAAACATCAGAGGAGGAGATCGACTCGACGGTTTAGTCCTGGACTGTTGGGCTGTGGGACAGTGGGACTAATGGGTTGATGCTGATTTATCACGGGCCTGGGTGGGAGTGGATTTAACTTTGACATAATCTCGGGTTAACGGGCGGGTGTGGTGCTGGACTGTGCGGGTGCGGGTCTCCAAAAATGGACCCGTGCGGTACTGTTATGTACTATACCACCTGCACAAAGACGACAGTTTTAGTCCTTATGAAATTATCACCAAATGAAAACAGCGAGACGGGAAAAGGCGGCGCGGCGTCCGACACGTTATGAACAGTTTAACAGCTACACTATTGGAACTACACAAACGACGCTCCAGTGTAAACACGACAAGTCACGAATCAAACACGCCGACACAGTCCAAAAACAAAGCTCCACCTGGAAGGAAACATCCAGAGCCTCCAGATCCTCCAGATCCTCCAGACGCTGCGTCAGTTGTTCTTTGCTCAATGATCCAGGTGCTTTAGTCCAAAACTCAACTGAAGCTTCTCTGTGCACTAGTGTCGTTTTACTTGAGACCAAGACCGGCCTCGAGACCACTTTTCTATGGTCTTGGACTTGGTCTTCTCTTGGTCTTGATGGCGCTTGGTCTCAGTCTTGACCTTTAAAAGTCTTGGTCTTGTCTCCGTCTCGGGACCCTGTGGGCTCGGACTGGTCTGACTACAACACTGATGTGCACTGTCTCCTGAGTGTGTACTGTGTGTACTGTGTACTGTGTGTACTGTGTACTGTGTACTGTACTGTGTGTACTGTGTGTACTGTGTGTACTGTGTACTGTGTGTACTGTGTGTACTGTGTGTACTGCAGGTCATTTCAAACAGGTCGTGAACGCTGCACTCGAGTGTAAACAGTAAAACAAAGGGTGATTTTGACACATTACACAAACAAAAGTGTTTGTTTACAAGACACGTCCCCACTGATAAAAGGATCTGCTGAAGTGAAGCAGAGGACAGAAGTTTGAACGTTTCTTTGGGTTGGAGAGTCGCAGGGCAGAAAAAAAAAAGCTGATTTGCACATCACAAGTGTCCAGTCTGTGATGTTCTTGTGTTCTTCAGGTGAGCAGTAATGATAAGACTCCTGTGGTGATCAGCGGAGCTTTAGAGAAACACAACCAGGATCCTCGAGACGCTCCACACTACGAACTCCTGCAGCTGTTGCCAGACGACAAAGGTATGAACCTGTACCTCCCCCTGTGTGACCCCCCCCCATGACCCCCCTGTGTGACCCCCCCCCGTGACCCGCCCTGTGTGACCCCCCCCCATGACCTGCCCGGGGGACCCCCCGGGTTAGGGTTAGGGTTACCCCCCCTGTGTGACCCCCCCCCATGACCCGCCCTGTGTGACCCCCCCCCCATGACCCACCCTGTGTGACCCCCCCCCCGTGAGAGTCCAGGAGCTGCTACATCATGTGACAGAACAGAGGAGGTGGTGGATTTTCAATAATATGAAAAAGGTTGAAGAGCAGAGACCAGAGCAAAGACCTGACAGAACTAAACCCCCACTACACTTGACTCCACCCTGCCCCCTCCTGGCCAGAACAAAACGGTCGCCTTGTGCTCGGACATAAACACAAACTCAAATGAACCACAACCCAAAAGAACCAAGACCAGCTCCTCCAGGCGTCTGTCCCGCTCATATTTACATTTGTTTGTTTTTCATGTCAGAAATGTCAGTGTGTAAATCTTTGTTCTTCTTCTTTCTTCTTTTCCGTCTGCGTCCTCAGAGCTGCTGATCCCGCCCACAGGAAACGTCTTCTACGCCATGAGCTCCTCCAGCGTCGACTTCCTGTTGAGGCGAAAAGGCGGGACTCCTCTGGGCTCTCAGCCAATCAGCACGGAGACCAGCGCCACCTTCCCACGAATCAAGGCCAAGGGGCGTCGGCTCGTGCGGACGCTGTTCTGATGCGGCGCCGGCGAGGCCCCGGGGGGGCGCCGGCGAGGGCCCGCGGGGGGCGCCGGCGAGGGGCTCTTCAGACTATGCACTTAAACTGGAACTGTACCGTCACACGTCAGACTGAAGGGGGCGACGTTTCACTTAAAGCTTCCATATTTTGCTTTTCAAAAACACAAAACTTTATTTTATGACTTTTTTTTTCTTAAAGAGGAGAAATTATGCAAATCACTCTGACATGTTCTAACGTTGTTCCTCATCACAAACCTGAATCTTTTAGAATCATCCATGCGTGTTTGAGTCATCTAGAGATCTCTCCTGGGCCCTATTCAAATCCTCGTTATGGATAGCAGTACGAGCCTGTACGAGGCTCCGCCCACAAGCCTCCCACACGACACTTCTCCATAAATACACCAAAGCTCGTCTCCACGGGGATGAACGTGCTGAACCTGAATCCCTGCGTGACTTCCACAGTGAAATACAAATGTGTAAAGCCACAGTGCGGGACTTTGGGAGGCGTTCACGTGGCGACAGGAGCTCAGTGGGTCGAGCGTTTGTTTGTTCGCTGTTTGGGTCTGTGGTTGTGGTTAGAGGTTTGAATCTCACTCTCAACATAAACAACAGATGAATGCTGTTCTTGTGTTCTTGGGCAAGACACTTAACCCCCCTCGCCCCCAGTGTTCTTTGACTTCCTGAGTCAAGGTGGAAAAGCGCTGTATAAAAATCTGACCATTCACCACACCTTATGTGAAGGTTAAAGTGACCAAACGTCCTTTTTTCTCGTCCTGTTCTGGCCGTCCGGGTTTAGTTTTTTTTAAGTGATGTAAATGTTCAGGTTTTCTTTTCTTTTCATTGGGACATTAAACTGAGCGTCTCTCGTCGCGTCTGTGACTCAGAAGGAGCGAGACACAAACAGTCGATCAGTCTGAAACATGACGAAGCACAAATGCACATTTAACAAAGACTTGGACAAGAAATTCTCCGTTTTCCGTCCCGGTCGAGACAAGTGTGAGTCCATGTGCACAGGCTTGTGAGGTGAGAGTAGCTCAACGTTGAGGACACGCTGGAGGGACCATGTCTCTGGACTGGCCTGGGAACATCTCAGGGTCTCTGCTCAGACTGTTGAACCTGTGACCCCAGAGAAGAGGAAGAACATGGCTGGATGGAGATGGAGACAGATTCATAATGAAGAGACTCAAACATGTGAGTGAAACAAAACACAACTCCAGCTCTGATTTTATGTTTCTGAGGAGGAACAACGTTAGAACATTGTTAAAGTTCACAGGAGGTCATTTCATTTTGTGTAACACTGGACCTTTAAACGAAGCAAAGACAAGTGTGTTTGAAAAAAAAAAAAAAAAGAGCCTGAGGAGAGAGGAACGAGTCAAACCCGTGTGAAGGAAGAAAGAAGAAAAACACAGTGAGGGCTGCGTAATATGGAAACTTTAAGAACTTCTGAGGACCTTTGAGAACTTCTGAGGACCTTTGAGGACCTCTGAGAAGCTCTGAGATCCACTGCACACTGCTCCCACCAAAGCCTCAGTGGCGCCATCTGGTGGCACAGCACAGATCTGCACTTTCACGTTGCTCTTCCAGGAACCTCATGGTGACCTCAGCTCCTCCAAACCCCAGCTCCTCCTCAGCTCCTCCTCTTCTCCTCCTCAGCTCCTCCTCTTCTCCTCCTCAGCTCCTCCTCTTCTCCTCCTCAGCTCCTCCTCCTTCTCCTCCTCAGCTCCTCTCCTCCTCCTCAGCTCCTCAGCTCCTCCTCTCCTCCTCAGCTCCTCCTCTTCTCCTCCTCAGCCTCCTCTCCTCCTCAGCTCCTCCTCCTCTCCAGCTCCTCCTCAGCTCCTCCTCCTCTCCTCCTCAGCTCCTCCTCAGCTCCTCCTCCTCTCCAGCTCCTCCTCAGCTCCTCCTCAGCTCCTCCTCTTCTCCTCCTCAGCTCCTCCTCAGCTCCTCTTCAGCTCCTCCAAACCCCAGCTCCTCCTCTTCTCCTCCTCAGCTCCTCCTCTTCTCCTCCTCAGCTCCTCTTCCTCTCCTCCTCAGCTCCTCCTCAGCTCCTCCTCTTCTCCTCAGCTCCTCCTCAGCTCCTCCTCTTCTCCTCCTCAGCTCCTCCTCTTCTCCTCCTCAGCTCCTCCTCTTCTCCTCCTCAGCTCCTCCTCCTCTCCTGGTCGTTGGAGTGTGTTGTGTGTTGTGTGTTGTGTGTCTTTTCCGCCGTGTGCGTCGTGTCTCTTTGACGTTGCTGCTGATCTTCTGAAGGGCTGAGAGGCTCAAACGTTCTCACATCGAGTCCCGTGACCTCTGATTGGACGGCTCAGTGTCTGTGAAGCCTCCGATTGGCTGAGGGCTGAGTGGGCGTGGTCAGAGTGAGGACTTGTGCGTGCCTTTTGTGTGTGTGTGTGTGTGTGTGTGTGTCCAGATCTCAGCTATTTATGCACTACAAAGAATGTCCTATTTTTACAGTAATAAAAATACTTTATACAGAACGATGTGTGTGTGTCTCTGTGTGTGTGTGTGTGTGTCTGTGTGTGTGTGTGTGTGTGTGTGTGTCTGTGTGTGTGTGTGTGTATCAGTCTGTGTATCTGTGTGTGTCTCTGTGTGTGTGTGTGTGTGTGTGTTTGCCGATTACAAGATCATAAAATAAAAAGATGAAAATGAAGCGGCTGTGTGCAGTCACTCTCACTCACTCTCACACACACACACACACACACAACTTTCATACAGGGTAATGTGGGTGAAGTGTCTTGCCTAAGGACACAACAACAGTTTTTACCACTGGTGTCTCCTGTGGAAACTGATGTTCCCAGAGTCTCCATCCAAGTCCAGACCTGGACCTGGACCTGGACCTGCAGAACTTCTGAGATCTGACGAGATGAGACTTTGACGAGTCTGTGTGGACACAAGCAGCTCTAAAAGCAAAACAGAATAAACGAAGACTGGAGAGACGGTTTCCACGGTAACACACAGACTGACGTCCAGGTACATGATCCAGCTCAAGTCTCCAGAGTTTTTCTTCTGGGTAAAATATTGTCGGTGTGAAGTAAACTGAAGAACCCTGAGTGCTGGTGTCCATATGGTTCTCACACAACTGCAGGTTTTTTTTCTCAATTTAATAATTCTGAGAAAAACTGTCCTGACACAGACAGGTTCCAGTCCTGCAGTATCTGGACCAGACCGTAGTAGTAGTAGCAGTAGTAGTAGTAGTAGTAGTAGTAGTAGTAGCAGTAGTAGTAGTAGTAGTAGTAGTAGTAGTAGTAGTAGTAGTAGTAGCAGTAGTAGTAGTAGTAGTAGTAGTAGTAGTAGTAGTAGTAGTAGTAGTAGTAGTAGTAGTAGTAGTAGCAGTAGTAGTAGTAGTAGTAGCAGTAGTAGTAGTAGTAGTAGTAGTAGTAGTAGCAGTAGTAGTAGCAGTAGTAGTAGTAGTAGTAGTAGTAGTAGTAGTAGTAGTAGTAGTAGTAGTAGTAGTAGTAGTAGTAGTAGTAGTAGTAGTAGTAGTAGTAGTAGTAGTAGTAGTAGTAGTAGTAGTAAGTGTAAACCGGAGACTGAACAGATCCTTTAATTTTTTGGAATCAAAAACACTGAAACTTTCAAAAGAAGCAAAAAAAAGAAAAAGAGAGAATTAAGATCAACACTTTTTACTTTTCCAGTAAAACACGTCCAGAGTCCAGATTGAAGATCCACCAGGACTGTGACTTTTACTGAACTCAAACACATTCAGGGCGAGAAAAAACTATGTTCATCTTTTTAAAAAAGAAACAAATACATTTCTGTTTTAGAAACTGTAAAAATCATCAGAGTTTAATTTAATCTTTCTTTTCTCTGGACACAAACTCTCAATAAAAAACTTTAATATAAAACATCTTATAAAAATAGAAAATGACAAAAATACTTTGTGGTTCATTTGTTCACGTTGCTCGTCTGGATAAATCTGTAGGATTATATTATATTAATATATTAATTCATATTTCAAATATCTTTGTCGCTGTGGCGACTCCCGCCCCACAGGGGGCAGTAACGCTGCACTGCTCTACACTCCACAAGAGAAATGAAGAAAATGTGTCAAAAACAGAGAAACACAAACAGTCTGCACAGAAAGAGCCACATGAGCCACTACAGGATCCTGTGAGCGCTGGAGCCGTGCACCCAGGGGCCCCCCGTTTCACCCAGGGCCCCCTCGTTTCACCCAGGGGCCCCCCGTTTCACCCAGGGCCCCCCGTTTCACCCAGGGGCCCCCCGTTTCACCCAGGGGCCCCCCTCGTTTCACCCTCTCACTTTAAAAATGCTCTAAACCTGAGTTGGGGCCAGAGGTCATGTGACCCCAGAGCTGAGCCTGATTTAAACTCAGACTTTCTCCTGAAAATCTGAACAGAACAAACATCTCGAACTTTTTCACATCGTCTGAAGTTTCCTGCGGCTCATGAATTTCAGTCAAAGTTGTAGATGTGAGTAAAGATGAAATGTTAGAGATGTTGAAGAGATCAGAAGCGTCACATTTAAACTCACAAATGTCTCGATCTTTACAAATCTCCACATCATCAAATCTATTTTTAATATTAACAGTAGAACGAGTCTGAACAAGTTCCTTCTGTTTTGTTCAGGATCAGAACATGAGTTGAGTTTGTTGTGTGACTCTTGTTGTGTCGTCGTTGTTTCTTTAACTTTTGTTCTTTCTTCTCTTGATATTTGTGGACAAATTGTTCATGAAGAATGTTTCTCTTTTGTGGATCAAACACATTTACACAGAAACATGTGAGTTCTACAAACGAGACACTTCAGACGATGTGAAAAAGTCAATTACAAATAAAACTTAGATTTTATGGGTTTGATTTGATACAGGTCACCCCCGCGGGTCCCTGGGCTCAGCAGGAGGTGGTGCGCCCGCTGCAGTCCTGGCACTCCAGCGCGGCGCTCCTGTAGGCCTTCCAGACGCGCGGGTCCCTCAGGCAGACGGTGCCCCCCCCTCGCTGTTCCTCCGCCTGGTTCCTGTTGATGTCGCCCACGCACGCCCACCCCCCCCCGGCGCCGCCCCCCGACTCACGGCCCATTTGGAGTGGTCCAGGGCGGTGCTGAAGTTGGCGCCGGGGCCCGGGGACAGAGTCTGGACGTTCAGGACGGTGACGCCCTCGGAGCAGTCGGACGGCAGCACCCGAGTCGAGTGAATCCAGAACTGCACCAGCAGAGGGCCCCCCAGGGCCGGAGCCACCCACGAGTGGTACAGGTCTGCGGGGGGGGCAGAGGGGGGGGGGTGTTAGGCTCGTTAAAGGGTCGATATCACACAGAACTGACCCCTGTGAGGCACGTGTGGGGTTTGTTGTTTGGCGTTCGACGTGGGCGTGTGGCGTTTGGCGTGTGGCGTGTGTGTGGCGTGTGGCGTTGTGGCGTGTGGCGTGTGGCGTTTGGCGTGTGGCATTTGGCGTGTGGCGTTTTGGGCGTGTGGCGTTTTGGCGTTGTGGCGTTGTGGCGTTGTGGCGTGTGGCGTTTGGCGTGTGGCATTTTGGCGTGTGGCGTTTGGCGTTTGGCGTGGCGTGGCGTTTGGCATTTGGCGTGTGGCATTTGGCGTGTGGCGTGTGGCGTGTGGCGTTTGGCGTGTGGCGTGTGGCGTGTGGCATTTGGCGTGTGGCATTTGGCGTGTGGCGTTTGGCGTGTGGCGTTTGCGTGTGGCGCGTGGTGTGTGCATTTGGCGTGTGGCGTTTGGCGTGTGGCGTGTGGCGTTTGTGGTCAAACCGTGGCGTCGTACCGTTGTTGAAGTTGGCTCCTTTGGCGAAGCTGGTGAACTCCGTGCCGCCGCTGGACGTCAGGACGACGCTGCGGTTGGACACGGGAGCGAGAGGGGGCGGGGCCTGGAGAAGCGGAGGGCGGGACTTTCGGCACAACGCGGCGAGCGACGGAACCAGCGACGCCAGAGAATCAGGGACGTGACAATCAAACACGTGAGGCTGGTTTATGTGCAACTGCTCCCCTGGAAGACAAGGACATGAGGACATGAGGACACGAGGACATGAGGACACGAGGACATGAGGACACGAGGACATGAGGACACAAGGACACGAGGACACAAGGACACGAGGACACGAGGAAACGAGGACAGGACATGAGGACATGAGGACATGAGGACATGAGGAAACGAGGACAGGACATGAGGACATGAGGACACGAGGACACGAGGACACGAGGACATGAGGAAACGAGGACATGAGGATATGAGGACACGAGGACACGAGGACACGACATGAGGACACAAGGACATGAGGAAACAAGGACGTGACATGAGGACACAACATGAGGACACAAGGAGACAAGGACACAACATGAGGACACAAGAACACGACATGAGGACATGACATGAGGATATGAGGACACACAGGTGAGACGCAGGTGAGACGCAGGTGAGACGTCATCTCTGTTTTATGTCCAACAGGAAACCACAAGGACATAAACACTGCAACACGACCAAATATGGGTGCACTTCCTGCTCCATCTTATCTTTGTAACAAGCCGACCTCAGTGAGCTTCATTTGACTGGAGCTGCACTCTGGACAGTCTGACCGGAGCCTCTGTTGTCACCATGGCGACGGCGTGGTGCTGAGGAGAGCAGCGACCGTCTCCTAGCGACGGCAGCGCGAGGGCCGTAACCACGACGACGGCTCAAAGCTCACAGCACTGTGAGCGCCGAGCGTCTCCACGACGACCGAGGACAGAGACGAGGACACAGGAGGAGGAGAGAGTAACCGTGACGACAGATGCAGAGGAGAGGAGAGTGTCCGGGTGAACAGAGAGACGTAACCGTGGCAACAGCGGAATGATCAGCGTAACCATGACAACAGACGAGAAGCAGAGAGTCTCCAGGCAACGAGTTTAACCACGACGAGGGAGGAGGACACTGGGTTACCATGACGACAAAGTAAAAGTACTTTTATTCTGTTATTTTGCAGCAAAACAAAACAAAACACAGACTCCAGCCTCATGGATCAGGACTGAAAGAGTTTAGACTGAAGTAAAAGTTTTAACTCCAAACTCTGTAAACAACATTGAGTTTGTATTACTGCAGTACTTTACCGCGTCTGTATTACTGCAGTACTTTACCGCTGTCTGTATTACTGCAGTACTTTACCGCGTCTGTATTACTGCAGTACTTTACCGCGTCTGTATTACTGCAGTACTTTACGCGTCTGTATTACTGCAGTACTTTACCGTGTCTGTATTACTGCAGTACTTTAACGTGTCTGTATTACTGCAGTACTTTACCGCGTCTGTATCACTGCAGTACTTTACGCGTCTGTATTACTGCAGTACTTTACTGCGTCTGTATTACTGCAGTACTTTACCGCGTCTGTATTACTGCAGTACTTTACCGCGTCTGTATTACTGCAGTACTTTACCGCGTCTGTATTACTGCAGTACTTTACCGCGTCTGTATTACTGCAGTACTTTACCGCGTCTGTATTACTGCAGTACTTTACCGCGTCTGTATTACTGCAGTACTTTACCGCGTCTGTATTACTGCAGTACTTTACTGTCTGTATTACTGCAGTACTTTACTGTGTCTGTATTACTGCAGTACTTTACCGTGTCTGTATTACTGCAGTACTTTACTGCGTCTGTATTACTGCAGTACTTTACTGTGTCTGTATTACTGCAGTACTTTACTGCGTCTGTATTACTGCAGTACTTTACTGCGTCTGTATTACTGCAGTACTTTACCGCGTCTGTATTACTGCAGTACTTTACCGCGTCTGTATTACTGCAGTACTTTACCGCGTCTGTATTACTGCAGTACTTTACTGTGTCTGTATTACTGCAGTACTTTACTGTGTCTGTATTACTGCAGTACTTTACTGTGTCTGTATTACTGCAGTACTTTACTGTGTCTGTATTACTGCAGTACTTTACTGTGTCTGTATTACTGCAGTACTTTACTGTGTCTGTATTACTGCAGTACTTTACTGCGTCTGTATTACTGCAGTACTTTACTGTGTCTGTATTACTGCAGTACTTTACTGTGTCTGTATTACTGCAGTACTTTACTGTGTCTGTATTACTGCAGTACTTTACTGTGTCTGTATTACTGCAGTACTTTACTGTGTCTGTATTACTGCAGTACTTTACTGTGTCTGTATTACTGCAGTACTTCGTTGGTGTGATTCATATTTTTGGTCTGTTTCCTGTTAATGTTCCAAAATACTCGACTCACGCGACTCCAGAACTTTCACTTCACTAAACTGAATCAAACTGAATCAAACTGAATCAAACTGAATCAAACTGAATCAAACTGAATCAAACTGAATTCTTCCGTTTGTTCTTCTGGAGGTTTTGTTGTTGAAGTTCACATTTATTTTGTTGTTTGTTTCTCGGCCGATGTTAAAAACAACAGTTTTCTGTTTAGGCTCCAAGTTTTTCTCTGAGTCGGACACAAAACTTAATCAAACGGTCGAGTCGTGAACGTGACGTCACATCTGAGTCCGACTGGAGACGGACGGAAAAACGAACGCAGCAGTCGTCTCTCCGCTGTTGTCATGGTTACGCTCCCACAGTCGCTCGTGGTTTGTTACGTCTACAGAGCGAACGTGTCAGTCAAATGAAGCTCATGGAGGCGAGGAGGTGGTTCTGGTTCTGGTGGTTCTGGTTCTGGTGGTTCTGGTTCTGTGGTTCTGGTGGTTCTGGTGGTGGTTCTGGTGGTGGTTCTGGTGGTGGTTCTGGTGGTTCTGGTTCTGGTGGTTCTGGTGGTGGTTCTGGTGGTTCTGGTTCTGGTTCTGGTTCTGGTGGTTCTGGTTCTGGTGGTTCTGTGGTTCTTACCGATGGTGTCGAAGCTCTTCAGGGGGTAAGTGACGCACAGGAAGCTCTGGCCGTTCTTGAGGCCCGTCTCTGGGTACGAGTATCGACCGACCTGCTGCGGAGGAGGGAAGTGAGGAGTACTGTGGACCAACCAGAAGCCCCGCTGTCCGTCCACGACCACCACACCTGCAGAGAGACAAACAACAAACAAACAAACAAACAAACAAACAAACACACGTGAGCAAAATGTTCTCCTGACTTCATGAGTTCAAATCAACCTGGACCAAAACAGAAACACAGAGAAACTTCACTGATCCACAAAGAAAATGACACAAACAAAACACGTTCACATGATGAATTTTAATGCTGAATTAATTGTTCTGAAATAAATAGTTCGGAATTCAAAAATTCTCCCTCAAGTTTCCATGTAAATAATCATGTTTTCTTGTTGTTTTTTTTTCTGTTAAACTGGTGAAATGTTTTTTATTTCGTGTGTGTGAGCGTCTGGGGGAGGTTCTGATTGGACAGAGACGCCAACAGATTTACGTCTTTGAGAAGAAAAAACAAACTTCAGCAGATCGTCCAGATCGACGCGACGACGCGACGACGACGCGACGACGTCGACGACGACGACGACGACGACGACGACGACGACGACGACGACGACGACGACGACGACGACGACGACGACGACGACGACGACGACGACGACGACGACGACGACGCGACGACGCGACGACGACGCGACGACGCGACGAGCCTGAAGCAGCAGCAGCATTTTAACAACAACAACAAACAGGATCCAGGAAGAAATTCATTCAGATTTAAAATCAGAATAAAACAAACACTGAAGACTTAAGTGTTTACATGAACTTTTTAAAGTGAGATTCATTTTTATTCAGAATTAAATCTCTCATGTGAACGCGGCGAAAAAAACAAACAAACTGATAATTCTGTTTTATGTTAAAGGAGCTGCACCTGTCCTGAACTCTTACTGTTTTAGAAAAGTTCTCCAGAATCTTCATCTGCACAGAGACACACACACAGACACACACACACACACACACACAGAACACACACAGACACACACAGACACACACACACACAGACACACACACACACACACACACACAGACACACACACACACACACACACACACAGCACACACACACACAGACACACACACACACACACACACAGACACACACACACACACACACACAGACACACACACACAGACACACACAGACACACACACACACACACACACACACACACACACACACACACAGGTCTTCGGTGAATCTGTGTGTGATTCATTCATTTGTTTTTCAAAATAAAACCAAAAAACAAGAAAGTGAAAAAAAAAAAAAACTATTTTCTTCATAACGGACTGAACCAGGACTGAACCAGGACTGAACCAGGACTGAACCAGGACTGAACCAGGACTGAACCAGGACTGAACCAGGACTGAACCAGAAATGTCAGGACAGACCCAGAGATGCTGTCAGGTGATCAGGACTGAGACCAGGACCAGACTGTGACTGAGACCGTTTTAGTCCTGGTTTAGTCCTGGTTTAGTCCTGGTTCAGTCCTGGTTTAGTCCTGGTCCTGGTTCAGTCCTGGTTTAGTCCTGGTTCAGTCCTGGTTTAGTCCTGGTTCAGTCCTGGTTCAGTCCGTTATCCATTTTTTTTCATTATTCATTTAAACACAAAATCAAAACTGAAAAATCAGTTTTTTCATTTTGGTTTTGGAGACAAATAATGAAGAAAATCTGTTTTTTTTGTTTTTGTTTTTTTTCATTTTCTTATTTTTGGTTTTATTTTGAAAAACAAATGAACGAATGACGCAGATTTTGGTCGACTCTGGCCTTTTTCAGATCATTTAGAAAATAAACATGTTTTGACCTTTGACCTCATGTCTGGACTAAAGTTGCCACTTTTTCATTCCTGAGTCAGAACATAAAACTCTTCAGTCTGAGCAGCGTCACAACAACGAGATTTACTGATTTTTATAAAGAAATACAACTAATATTCTGCAGATTTGAGTTAAACATTTGGCCTCCACAATATTTTCTGTTTCTCATGTGACCCTGTGGAAACACCTGCCTGAACCTGGACTGAAGAGTTCAAAAAAACTTTATGCAGATTTTTATATTTACGGCTGGAGGCGTCGGCTTTAAGGCCGATAGGAAATATGCTAAAAAAGTCCAAATATCGGTCCGATATATCGATGTATCTCTGCTCAGGTTTTATTTGTTTGCACTGGTGCTGCACAGAGCTCAGGTCGACCTGTGACTGGACTGACTGTAAAACACAGAGATTCTGCTCTTGACTTTACACAACAGAAAACATGTTGGAAATGAACGTGAAGTAAATTCACATAAATGTGTCACAATAAAACACGGTTTCATCCACAGAGCGACGTAAAAGTCTTTACTTTACTCAGGTCACTTCACTTTCCTTCATGTGGCTTTTCGCTAAGTCGACTTATTTCCATTTTAAGACGTTTTAAATATTCCATTCACTGTATACAGCTGTCAATCAAAGGAACACTACAGGACCGTCGTTTTGTCCTCGTCTCCCTCAGACGCACGTCGACAAACTCAGTGAACAGGAAAACCCTCCTGATCTGGCTGCACTTCATCAAGGACACGAGATGAAGATGAACACAAAGGACCTGCTGATGTCCCTCTTCAAGTTGGATTCCTTATGATTTCCCCTTTGCACAGACTCCTTGGTTGTTGATATCGGACCAGTAGTTGCTGAGTAAATACAGTTTGAAATTCAGCAACAATGAAAAAAAGTGAAAAAATAAATAAATAAATGAAACTGTGATATTTCTGAAACCGAAACTCTGATCAAACTGTGAGATTTTGGCTTTCTTGGCTATGACTCACCCAGACACCTTTTTTTTTTTTTTTGTGGATGTAAGAGTTTTTACTTTACTCATGTTACTTAACGTCACTTTCCTTCAGGAGGTTCTTCAGGTTCAGCAGGACTTTTATTTCAAAGGAGAATTCAGGCAAGGAGACAGTGTGAGTGTTTTACCTTTGGTGTGTCCAGACGAGTGTCGGCGCTCTGACCCCGGCGCTGGACTCTGGTCGTTGTAGAGGATGTAGGCCACGTCAGAAACCTGCACAAGAACAGAGACTTCAGACCGGACTTCAGACCGAGTTCAGACTTCAGACCAGAGTTCAGACCAGAGTTCAGACCAGAGTTCAGACCAGAGTTCAGACCAAGCAGCAGACGTCATGACCCTGGAGACCGTTTCACCTTTTCAGTAGAATGGACTTTAAATCAAACCCTCTTCCACCTGTTTCCCTCAACATTCACTCACCTGACGTCACACCTGGACTGATTCGTGCACGTTTGAGGATAAATGTGTCTAAAACAGAAGTGTGTCTGTGTCTCTGGTCTTATTTTGACATTTTTGTGCAGATTTGTTAAAAATGTGATTTTTGGGTCAGAGTCGTGTTCGTCTCGGCCTCTTTAGGATCAACACGACATTTGAGTTTTCGTGTTGGACGCCACTTTTGTGTCTTGTGTTCAGACGCTCATCATATAAACGCAGCCACAGTTAAACCGCTTCTTGTGCAAAGTTCAAATAAAACACAAACAATTTAATCATTAAAACAGTGAAAATGTCAAATGTGTCGCATAAACGAGTTTTGTTCCTCTGAACAAACAAGAAAACTGAAGCTGTAATAGAATAATTTAGTAAAACATGAAAAAATACTTGATACAGCAGCCAACAATATCGATACTATATCATCACATTAAACGATTCGATATTTCAGTATTTTTGGACACTTCTCTGTGTGATGTTTTCGATGGTTTCACTCAGTCTCACATCAAACTGTTCGACCAAATCACAGAGTTTAAAAGTTCACAGCTCAAGATTCATGTTCTGACACTAAACGAACGACTTCAACAGAGACAAACCCTCACCAGAGACGACTGGATTTCAAAAAGTTTGATTTCTTGCGACCTACGACTGGCGATCGGGAGCTGGTCGTGATGTATTAATCGGTTCTCGTTACCCCGTGTTTATGACGGGAAGAACGACACACGAAGCCAAAACTCGTCCCAATCTCCAAAACAGTGGCACGAAAAATCAGCTCAAAAAGAACCAAAATCACAGAGTGAACGACCGGATTAATCCTGACGCTCTGTCCTTTAGTTCATCTGTCTGTGTTTTTAATAAGACGGAAGAAGATCGAATCGAAAATCAAGATCGATCAATATGCGGGTAGAAAAAATATATATCGTGATTCTTTTTTCCCTGTATGACCACAGTTCTACAAAACAGTGAAGTAAAACACCAGGATCATGCAGAGCAGGTTCATGTTTAAATCTGAGTCGTGTCGTGTCGGTCGTGTTCGTCGTGTCGGTCGTGTCGGTGTCCGTTGTGTCGGTGGTGTCGGTCGTGTGTCATGTCATGTGTCGTGTCGTGTGTCGTGTCGGTCGTGTCGGTCGTGTCGTGTCGGTGGTGTCGGTGTCCGTTGTGTCGGTGGTGTTCGTCATGTCGGTGGTGTCGGTGTCGTCGGTCGTGTCGGTCGTGTCGGTGGTGTCGGTGTCCGTGTGTGTCGGTGGTGTGTCGTCGTCATGTCAGTGGTCATGTGTCGTGTCGGTCGTGTCGGTCGTGTCGGTGGTGTCGTGTGTCCGTTGTCGGTCGGTGGTGTTCGTCATGTCGGTGGTGTCGGTGTCCGTTGTGTCGGTGTCTGTCGTGTCGGTCGTGTCTGTCGTGCTCGTGTCAGACCTGTCTGTGTCTGTGTCCGTGTCCGTCTCCGCCTCCGTCTCCGTACACCTGTCCCACCGTTCTGCCCACTGCTCCCTGGGTGTCGTTGATGTTGGTGGCGCCTTCTGTCCAGGCCTCGCTGCCCTTCTCCAGCAGCAGGTACCTCAGCCCCTCCTCCTGCTCCTGCCCCCGCACCTGCCCCCGCACCTGCCCCCCGCCCACCGCACGGGGCAGTTTGTAAACGTAGAACCTGCAACAAACACAATAAAACAGAAAGTCAGACGTCTGTTTCCCCGGGACCGTCCCAGTTTTGAGTCTGTGTCTCTGTCCCACAGATTTACACAAAATCACTGATTTGTCCCAATTTTATTATTTTTTAGTTTTATTTATTTAAAAGGGACAATGTATATTCATGAACATACACTTGTAAATACCCCAGAATTAGCCCAAAGGTTCTTTTCATCTGTCGTCCTGCAGCTCAGAGAGACAGAGACATAAAACATAAGAACATAAAACACGTCACAACAGACAAACACACAAACATGACACACAACACTGACATTTACACAGGAGCAGAACATTAGTGACACAGATCTGGTTTCAGATTAGTTTTAAATGAACTGAATGTGGTGGAGTCTCTTCTAGCAGCTGGATGTTGTTCAGATTTCTGTTCCTTGACTGATCACACCTGCTGACTGAGAGTCGTGCGTCTACAGGGTTTTGCACAGTCGTTTCTGGTCGAGGCTCTTGTTCCCCGACTTGGGCTTAATGAACTCACCCAGAGCTGGTGGAGCGAGTCCATTTAAGACTTTGTAGACTGAGCAGACGAGTTTAAATTTTTGAAAATTTCCAGAACTTAAGATATTATACTTCTGTATTATGAGACAATGATGAAGCGATGAAGATTTCCTATCAAATATCTTTAACGCTTTTTAAAAAAGTGATTCTATTATTTTGAAGGTTGTCGTGTTTGTCAGTGAACAGTTAGTGATGCAGTGTTCAATATGAGAGAGAATCCTGCTGTGGAGAAACATTTTCATTTCTCAGTCATTTGTTTAGATAAAACACAGAAAAGCTGCTTAAAAACAAAAAAACACGATGAAAATGTGACGATCCTGACTCCTGTTCGTCATGAAGGAGCCGAGTGCAAAACAGTTTTCCTTCATTTCACATCGATTCACAATTTTATTATGACCTCCACAAACCGACGACTTTATGGATGTGGGTCTGTTCCAGAACTTTGTCAAACCTTCTGTCGCCAACTTCAGCGGCTCTAAATCTGACTTTTATCATTTACAGCTTTTATCTAAAGTAAAACTGTTTTTCTCTCCTCTCGTTCAGACGACTTTAACTCTCTGCTCTTTCCCGCTCACAGTTCGTCCAAAATTCTGCAGCTCGACTTTTAACTGGAAGCAAAAACCAAGAGCACATCACACATGATTATTTTAGCCACGAGTCTTATCCTCCTCTGTGTCTTTTATTTATTTTAAGTTTTGTACCTTTTTATTCTTCATTGGTTTTCTTGTTTTTATTTGATTTGAGTCGTTTTATTTTCTAAAACAGGACCACTGGAGTTAAATAGAGCTTTATTTGATATTTCTATTGGATCTTTTTATTTGTCTGTTTACTTTGTTTATGAAACGCGTGATAGAAATGAAGTGGATTGGATTCTTCTAAAACTCGTGAATAAGTAGTTTCGGTGCCTCTGGTGTTTTGTGTCTCAGCTGATGATGTGGGGCAGGAGCCGATTCTTCTTTTTCAGATGTCGTCTCCTAAAAAGGAAATGTCTGAGACTTCTGCTTAAGACTTCCTCCTGATTAAGATTCTGTTTTTAAATGTCACAAACTGGACTGAAACCAAACTGACTCATTTCACCACAAATCTCCAAATGTCTGCGTCCGACCAGCTCAGATTTGACTGAAAAAATTCAAGGAGGTTCAAGAAATTTTATCTCCCAACTCCTTATAGTTTTGTCATTAAAAATATTGAGTCGTCTCCCCTGAGCTGTTCTGAGCAGAGTTTTCTGAGGAGCCACTTTCAGATTTCTGTGTCTAAAACACGATTTAAAATTTGTCAGATGTTCTTGTAGAATCTGGACTTTTCCACTTGTGCTTTCGGTTTATCTCAGATTTCTGGGGCTTGAATTTGCTTGAAAATTCTCCTCTTCAAACGTGAGGGCGTCTTTGAAGGAAAAGTGGAAAGTTCAGTTTGACAGACGGAGGTTTGATGTTGAACATGAACCTTCAAACACACGACACTGTGGACTTTAAACCTGAACGAGCTACAAGAGATGAAGAGTTCAAAATGGAGAAAATACATTTGGTGAATCTTTACTGTGTTATTAGTGACGGGGACTTGATGAAATGTTCTTCATCTATCGTCGGCAGAATTAACGATCGTTTTTATATTAAAATGATCATCATTATTATTACTATCTGCACTAATCTGCATCAATAAATTCAACTTTACGACATATAAACATAACGACTCTAGATCCACATCAGCTGTTTGACATTATAATGTGTTTAATTCAGTTTTGTTCAAATCTCACAGAAACAAAACTTAAAACCACATCACTAATTTACATAAACTAAGTGAAGATAAAACTCCAGCTCTTGTGTCGCTGATGTGGTTCAACTTGTGTTGGATTAAAAGACATGACTCAGGTGAATACAGGTCAGTGTGACCAGATTTTGTGTTTGTCAAAACCAGGACAGCGTACGGGGGGAGGGGGGCGGGGCCTCGTCATCCACATTGAGCGACTCTCACCTGGAAAAACTTTTTCCCACTGGACACAGAAACATATGTGCTGCTTTATCCACTGTGCACATGGACTCACACTTGTCCCAACGCAACGGAAAGTGTGGAATTTCTTCTACAAATCCTGGTTAAATCCACATTTGTGCTTCGGTTCGTTACAGACTGACCCACTGTTTGTGTCTCGCTCCTTCTGATGCAGAGACACATGACTTTTACGTCTTTTAACACCTGTTTTGGTCACGACACAGAACTTGATTTTCTTCACGTCAGAGTCACGTTTCTCAACTTTAAGAAGCCAGAGTCAGAGTCTTTTCTGTCTGTTTATGCTCAGTGTCGGGAGTAACAGATTACATGTACCAGAGTAATCAGAGTACAAATGATGAGTAACTGTATTCAGTTACAGTTACTGTTTCAGTGAGTGGTAATTGGATTACAGTTACTTTGTTGAAGTAAATGGATTAAACAGAGGGATTTTCCTGTTTTTACATTTTGGGTTAAACCAGGACTAAACCAGGACTAAAACCAGGTCTAAACCAGGTCTAAACCAGGACTAAACCAGGTCTAAACCAGGACTAAACCAGGTCTAAACCAGGACTAAACCAGGTCTAAACCAGGACTAAACCAGGACTAAACCAGGGACTTAAACCAGGACTAAACCAGGACTAAACCAGGTCTAACCTAGATCTAAACCAGGACTAAACCAGGATTTAACAGGACTAAATCCTGCTGTGTGGACGTGTTTCTTCGTTTTCTATCAATAATATTTTTAATTTGGTTCAGTAAAGTTTGGACTTTTTATTTTCTTTTATCAGATAAAACTTCTGATGTTACGATTTCCTGACCTTTGCTACTCAACAGCAAATCAAGTAATCCAAAGTAATCAGATTACATTACTCACTTTAAGTAATTTAATGGATTCCGTTACAAACTACATTTTGGTGTATGTAATCTGTAATCTGTAATCTGTAGGGGATTACATTTTAAAAGTCACCTTCCCAACACTGCCCCCGTCAAACACAAACCTGCACAAAAACGACGTCACGTGTTTAAGTTGGTTTGTCGTTTGTCTGTTTTAGTTTTGAAGATATTTATGATTCTTTTACAGGTCAAACTTCAGAAAACTTCAAAATGCTCCAAAACCAAACAAAACAGAGTGAGGCGTTTGTGCTGCTTTAGTTTTGGAGATATTAAAGGGACGGTCTGGAGTTTTGGACGTAGGACCTCGTTTCCTCGTGGGGCAGAGAGTTGGAGACGTGTGGAGACACTTTTTAAATCTTCCATCAGTCGTTTTATTTTCAGAGGTAAAAACTTTCTCACTCACTCCACAAAACACCAAAACAAATGTGTTATTGCTCCAGACTGTCCGTGTGAATGTGCTGATCGAATAATGTTTGAAATCGGGCCCCTCACCAGTCCACAGGGGCCCCGCGGTCGTCGTAGCAGCTGACAGGAGCCGCGCTGAGGCCCCCTGGAGGCAGGAGGAGGAACAGCGGCAGAAACACCGAGAGCTTCATCTGAGAAAGAAACAAAAGAGAGAAAAAAGAACTGATCAGAGAGAAAGAAGCGACAGAGAGACGCTCAGGTCAGAGTCACGTGTGGTTTATACGGAAGAGAATTTGTTTGATCAGATTTTGAGTTTTAAATCCAGCAGAATTTCTCACATTTTTCAATATGTAAAAAAAAAATTTTAAAAATCACCTTTTAAATATTCACCACAAATGTTTTCAACTCCTCAAATTCAACAAACAAAACTCAGAGTGAAATTCAGAGTCACGACTAAACCAGGACTAAACCAGGACTAAACCAAGACTAGACCAGGACTGAACCAAGACTAGACCAGGAAGACCTGGACTAGACCAAAACTAAAACAGGACTGAATGAAGACTAAACCAGGACTAGAAGAGGTCTAAACCAGGACTAAACCAGACTAAACCAGAACTAGACCAGGACTAGACCAGGACTAAACCAGGACTAAACCAGGACTAAACCAGGAACTAAACCAGGACTAAACCAGGACTAAACCAGGACTAAACCAGAACTAAACCAGGACTAAACCAGAACTAAACCAGGACTAAACCAGCACTAATTTTATCCTTTAAAGTGGCGTTATTCCTGTACCAAGATGGCGGCTTCGTTGACGCATTTGTTCCACTAAACCGCGGTCGTCCAGGTGAGATCTTCTGTTCTATGACTGTAGTTAAACTTAAGCGCTTGAAAATATTTAAGATGAATATTTTTATATAGATTTTTAAACATATTGAAACAGTTTACTTACATTTCATCAACTGACATTCAGAATAAAAATAATTCAAACAAGTTTTTTCAGGAGTTAAAATTCAAAAAACTCAAAAATCCAAAGTTTGGTGGAACAGATTCTTTTTCAGTCTCACCTGAGCGCGTCCAGCGACTCCAACACGACACGAACTGACTGATCCACACACGGACACACGGACACACGGACACACGGACACACGGACACACGGACACCACACGCGCTCCGCTGTTTCTGTTTCTGTGTTTTCGTTTTCAACCACAGTCTCGTAAGTTCCGGGTTGTGGTCACGTGATGTGGGCAGGTCAGCTGACAGAGTGAGTCAAATCAGCAATAAAATCTACAGATATCCTCCTAATTACACAGACTTTGGTCGGATTTACAAGATTATTTCGCGGGAATATTAGGCAAAAAATGTAACAATATTAAAATCTGGCAAAAGGAGAAACTGAATTTGTGACTGGACTAAAGTTTATTTTAGTCAAATTCTTTTCTCAGTTCCTCCAAGCTGCTTCTTCATCTCCATTTAAACCCACAGACCTGCTCCTGTGAGGTTTAGTTCAGTTTAGTTTATTTTACTTATTTAGTGTCATGCACCATTTAGTTGATGCCTGCATGGATTTATAAGACACATTAAACAATAAACAGACAGATCACACATCAAACATAAAGTGTCGTTTTACGGACGTCCCAGACTTTCAACACCAACTGAGCCAACTTAAAAACATGACATTTAAACAAATACTTGAGTCTCTCCTCATCAGACAGAACAAACCAACAGTGAGACACATTAGACACGACTGACAGGACAATAAAACAGACAAATGCTTTTCACTTTCAGTGTGAGGGACAAATCTGAGCAGAAAAAAGAAACAGTTTGAGAGGAGATTTAAAGAAACTGTTTTTGTTGTTACAAAAGAGAATCGTTCCTTAAACACAAATGAAAGACTCAGACGCTCGTGTCTCCTGTTCACATCTTCATCCTCAAACATGAAACAAAAACAAACTAAGAGAAGAACAGGTGCAGTCAGGTCAGGACCAGAGGTGTGAACGCTCCATCATGACCTGAATGTTTCTGTTAACATGACTCACCCTCATGAACAGGCCGAGCTACAAACAGAAACTGTAAACATGTGTTAGTTTCAGAGGAGTTTCAGTGTAGTTAGCGCCTCCTGCAGGGAGACATGAGGAAGTGTCTCCAGACTCTGACAGAACTGAAGCAGCAGTTTGGACGAACTGAGAAACGTTCTCAGTCAAAACAAACTTTAGTCCAGTGACAAATTAAATTTCTCTTTTGTTGTAGATTCTTCCTGAGCGACAGGGATTTTACACCAGATCAAAATCTGAAATATCACTTAGATTTGATCACTTTAACATTTTCTTCTGATGAAATCTGTTTATATTGAGTGAAGATAAAAAACAAACACTTCTGCTTTTGACTTTACAAAATGAAAATGTGTCAAAGTGCAGACGCCAGCAGTGTGTGTGTGTGTATGTGTGTTTTGTGTGTGTGTTTATGTGTGTGTGTGTGTGTGTGTGTGTGTTTATGTGTGTGTGTTTGTGTGTGTGTGTGTGTGTGTGTGTTTGTGTGTTTGTGGTGTGTGTGTATGTGTTTGTGTGTGTGTGTGTGTGTGTGTGTGTGTGTGTGTGTGTGTTGTGTGTTTATGTGTGTGTGTGTGTTTGTGTGTATGTGTGTGTGTTTATGTGTGTGTGTATGTGTGTGTTGTTGTGTTGTGTGTGTGTGTGTGTGTATGTGTTTTGTGTGTGTTTATGTGTGTGTTGTGTGTTTATGTGTGTGTGTGTGTGTGTATGTGTGTGTGTGTGTATGTGTGTGTTTATGTGTGTGTGTGTGTGTGTGTGTGTGTTTATGTGTGTGTGTTGTGTTTGTGTGTGTGTGTTTATGTGTGTGTGTGTGTGTTGTGTGTGTATGTGTGTGTGTGTGTGTGTGTTTATGTGTGTGTGTGTGTGTGTGTGTGTGTGTGTGTGTGTGTGTTTATGTGTGTGTGTGTGTGTTTATGTGTGTGTCTGTGTGTGTTTATGTGTGTGTGTTTATGTGTGTTTATGTGTGTGTGTGTGTGTGTAAATATTTCCAGACTGTGTTTTATGACCAGGTGCTTTATTTATTTATTTATTTATTTGCATAAAAAGAAACATTTAACTTATGAGTCGACAAAGAAGCAGAGAACTGTGCTCCACCTGGTTCTGTGCTGCACGGCCTGTTACACACACACACACACACACACACACACACACACGTACACACACACACACACACACACACACACACACACACTCGTGGACTGACGGACGTGTCCCAGCGTTTGGTCCAAATGAAGCTCATCGAGGTCAGCAGCTACAGCAGAACAGAAAACCCCTGTGTCCTGTCAATCATCTCACCGTCGCTGCTCTGACCTCTGACCTCCTGCACAAGCCCAGATTTTACTTTTTATTACTTATATTTCTATTTTATTTTTGTTTTATTTGACTTGTGTCTCTTGCTCTTATTTAGAATTTATTGTTTTTCTCTTTATTATTTTATTATATCATGTGTGACTCTGTGTCCAAATCATTTCCTTGTGGATCAATAAAGTTTGTCTGAGTCGATATGTGGAAATCTGAGCCAATCCGGAGCGAGGATGTTGGAGGTACACGCCCCCTTCTCCCGCTCGCCGCCAGAGCAGACGCTGAGTGTGGATCTGAAAAAAAAAACTGGAGGGTGTTTGTTTCTGTCTCCAGTTGACAGAGACTCACTGGTGCTTCAACGAAAAAATCCCCCCGAGCCCGAGAGAGGATTTTTCTCACAAACTGCTCATGTTCGGCTGACAGGGGCTGACAGGGGCTGACAGGGGCTGACAGGGGCTGACAGGGGCTGACAGGGACCTACAACTTTCAAAAATGTTGAATTTTCTGGTGATTTTTTTAGATCAAAAACTTTTTCTCAGCTCAAAATCCTTCAGTCGTCTTAAAAAACTCTTTAAAATCGTTCGCTCTGCTCCTCTCGCTCTGATTGGTCAAAGCGATCACATGACACACAGACCGCGCTCCGTGTGCGTTGTACGGAAGCCGAGAGGGTCACAACAAATGCAACAAATACAAAGGCGACAACACGACAAAAAAAAGCCACAACAAACCAAAAAAAGCCACAACGGAAATGACCGCGGGACTCGATTTTAATACAAACACCACAACAAATACAAACACCGCAACACAAACGCAAAAGCCACAACACATTAAAAAGCCACAACACATTAAAAGCCACAACACATTAAAAAGCCACAACAGAAGTGACCGTGGGACTCTATTTTCCGACGGACCGATCAAGCGGCAAGTGAAGAAGAAGAACTACAACATGAAAAGTAAAGGAACGGAGAAGTTGGAAACGTAAGTAAAAGTAATTTATTGTTTTATCATTATTCGTTTCACGTTGTAGTTCTTCTTCTTCACTTGCCGCTTGATCGGTCCGTCGGAAAATAGAGTCCCACGGTCACTTCTGTTGTGGCTTTTTAATGTGTTGTGGCTTTTAATGTGTTGTGGCTTTTTAATGTGTTGTGGCTTTTGTATTTGTTGTGGCGTTTGTATTAAAATAGATTCCCGCGGTCATTTCCGTTGTGGCTTGTTTTGGTTTGTTGTGGCTTTTTGTTGTGTTGTCGTATTTGTATTTGTTGCAGCGTTTGCGTTTGTTGTGACCCTCTCGGCTTCCGTAGCGTCGGCGTGTGAAAAGACTCTACTGCACATGCTCAGTGGGCCCAGAGCCACAGAAGAACCTCACCGGGCTGAAGGAGAATCTGGAGACATGAGACTCTGAGCTCGACCCAGGGACGTGACCGGGCGGACATTTAAAACCCCGGAGCAGACGAGGCTGACGGAGACACTGGGAGCGACGTCGGGGAAAAAAAGTCCACACAATTATTAAAGTTCAAATCTTAATTTAAGGATAAAAAAGCAAAATAAAAACCCCAGGATCATCTGGAGCGTTAATACAAACATTTGAGACCAAACGGCCGCGGCGGCTCACAGCGGCAGGTGCAGACAGACGGCGAAGATTTCAATAAAAGTCAACTACAACCAGAGCTGAAGAACCACATCGCGCCCGTGCTCACTTCCTGTTTGGAACGCGGCGGTTAGCACGTTAGCGCGTTAGCACGTTAGCTATGTCCATTTCTATATACAGTCTACGCCCGAGCCATGTTCCGCACTCGAGCTTTAAAAACACTGACAGGTGCACGAGTCCGTCAGGTGCCCAGAGGTCCGGCAGGCTCAGGTGCTCAGGCAGGGCAGCTCCGTCCTCTGCTCGTCCATGCGCCCGCCCTGGACCCTCAGCAGCAACGAGAAGAACACCTCATCATCCATCGGCCCCGGGGCCCGGCTCCGCTGGTCCTCCAACCGGCCCTGAGCCTGCACACGAGCACACAGGTGAGCACACAGGTGAGTTTAACCCTACAGGTGAGTCTACAGGTGAGTCTACAGGTGAGTTTAACCCTACAGGTGAGTCCACAGGTGAGTCTACAGGTGAGTCTAACTCCACAGGTGAGTCTACAGGTGAGTCCACAGGTGAGTCCACAGGTGAGTCCACAGGTGAGTCCTACAGGTGAGTCCACAGGTGAGTTTAATCCTACAGGTGAGTCCACAGGTGAGTTTAATCCTACAGGTGAGTCCACAGGTGAGTTTAACCCTACAGGTGAGTCTACAGGTGAGTCACAGGTGAGTCTACAGGTGAGTCCACAGGTGAGTCCACAGGTGAGTCCACAGGTGAGTCCACAGGTGAGTCCACAGGTGAGTTTAATCCTACAGGTGAGTCCACAGGTGAGTTTAATCCTACAGGTGAGTCCACAGGTGAGTTTAATCCTACAGGTGAGTCTAACTCCAGAGGTAAGTCCACAGGTGAGTCTACAGGTGAGTTTAACTCTACAGGTGAGTCCACAGGTGAGTCTAATTCCACAGGTGAGTCTAGTTTAAATCTACAGTGTGTCTGCAGGTGTGTCTGTCAGGTCTGTGTCTGTGTACCTGTGTCTGGAGGAGGTGTGTCATGTCGTACCTGTGTCTGGAGGATCATGTCGTACCTGTGTCTGGAGGATCATGTCGTACCTGTGTCTGGAGGTCTGGAGGATCATGTCGTACCTGTGTCTGGAGGATCATGCTGTAGAGCTCTTCCTTGGGCACAGGAGCAGGCTCTGGAGGAGGAGGCTCAGGTTTCTTCAGACTCAGTTGTCGGAGGCTTCCTCTGAAGCTGCGGCTCTTGTTCTTCTGAGGAGCCGAGCTCTGGAGCTGAGCCCTCTGGTCGTTCAGACGCCGAGCCTGAGCCGTGGCCACCAGGTCAAAGAACTCCTCCCTCTGCAGCGAGTTCATGGACGAGAAGACCACTGAGGAGACACGAGCAGCACAAAGACTACGGTCAGACGCAGGTTCAAGGGGTCAGGGGTCGGTGTGGGGGCGTGTCTGACCTCGGGGGACGGGCTTGGTGGTGTTGGGGGTCAGGGTCAGGGGTCGGGGGCGTGTCTGACCTCGGGGGGGGCTTGGGGTTGGGTTGGGGGTCGGGGTCAAGGGTCGGGGGCGTGTCTGACCTCTGGGGGCGGGTGTGTTGGGTGTTGGGGGTCAGGGTTGGGTCAGGGGTCAGTGTGGGGCGTGTCTGACCTCTGGGGGGGGTGTGTTGGTGTTGGGGGTCAGGGTTGGGGTCAGGGGTCAGTGTGGGGGCGTGTCTGACCTCGGGGGGCGGGTGTGTTGGTGTTGGGGGTTGGGGTCAGGGGGGGGGGGTCTGACCTTGGGGGGGCGGGGTCAGGGGTCAGGGTGGGGGCGTGTCTGACCTCTGGGGGCGGGTGTGTTGGTGTTGGGGGTCAGGGTTGGGGTCAGGGGTCAGTGTGGGGGTGTGTCTGACCTCGGGGGGCGGGTGTGTTGGTGTTGGGGGTCAGGGTTGGGGTCAGGGGTTGGGGTCAGGGGTCAGTGTGGGGGTGTGTCTGACCTCGGGGGGCGGGCTTGGTGGTGTTGGGCTCAGAGTGGCACCTCCTCCGGACTCGGGGCTCCAGGGCGGTGAGGGTGAAGGAGCAGCGCTGGTCGTTGAGGCGGCGTCCCTCCTGCAGTGTGCACAACAACTCGAACAGAGAGTCTGGGAAGTCCGGACTCAACCGATGAATCTGACACCAGAGAAACACACAACAACGTTTATGTTTGGTACCAGAACCACGAAAGCACAAACCCTCCCTTCAATACACCCGTGCAGCGAGCGGACCACATCTCTAAACCAGGACTAAAACCAGGACTAAAACCAGGACTAAACCAGGACTAAACCAGGACTAAAACCAGGACTAAAACCAGGACTAAAACCAGGACTAAAACCAGGACTAAACCAGGACTAAACCAGGACTAAACCAGGCCTAAACTAAGTCTAAACCGGGTCCAAACTACCTCTGAACAAGGACTGAAGCCAGAACTAAAACCAGGTCTGAACAAGGACTAAACCAGGACAGAACTGAGACTAAATCAGGGACTAAACCAGGACTAAACCAGGACTAAACCCTGCTGTTCGTTGCTTCTTCCCCTTCACCCCTCGACTTCTGGATTCATGAAACATTGTCAGACATAAAACTGGTCAGTAGTGAATAAAAGTTTGGTGATTTCTGTTTTTTTGGTGTTTTGTATCATGTTTTTGTGGTTTTGTGGAAACTGTGTTTCTTATTTAATGGAAAGAAACATGTTCATGTTTAATACACCTGACACAGTCTCAGTAAAATAAATGTTTTTCATATTAACTTTGCACAGACGGTGGTTTAACAAAGAAATATTGTTGTTAAAATGGATTTGGTTCTTAAAAAAACAGCAATACTGTATTTTCTGCACTATAGGACGCACTTAAAATTAAAATCCTTTAATTTCATTCAAATCGAGTGTGCGTCTTATAATCCAGAGCGTCTTATATCTGAATTTATTGTTGTGTCTTAGTACGACTTTAGTAAAGTACAAAGCCGCTCCACTTGCAGCATCACGGCTCCCGTCGTCAGGAGCATCAGGAGTAAAACAGACTGTGATTCCTTTTAATATGAAATTGCACCTGTCAAGAGACTCACTCACAACGTCCACTTTAAACTCAAGGATATAAGTCACGCAGTAAAACAGGGGAATAGAGCAGCAGCGAGAGAATTCAACATCTGCCGACGGATGGTGGACGCCCGGGTCAGGATCAGGATCAACTGTGGTCCGAGTTTTCACCAAGACCCGAATCATCACTGAACTGAACTCCAGGGAACAGAACCACACTGACGAGATCATGACAGACGGACGTGAGTGTGGGGTGTTTTATTTACACGTTACAATTGAACAAAGTTGAGAGTTTTTGTGAACATGTTAAATAAAGTTTGACTGACTTAACAAACTGTTGTGTTTGGTTTAATGCGTCTTATAGTCCAGTGCCCTTTATATGTGTAAAAAGTTCAAAAATGGACCAATGACAGTCGCCTTATAATCCAGAGCGCCTTATAGTGCAGGAAATACGGTCAATTGTAATAATATCATGTATCGAGTATCGAATGGGTTCTGTTCACGTTTACGTCACAAAACCAGAAGACGTTTGGAAACATGCAGATGACGACTTCCTTTGGGCTTTTGTTGGTGATTGAAACTCTGACAAAATCTGGGAAAACTGAGAAAATGTCCCAGTTTTCTTCATCTAGATCAGGGGTGTCCAAACATTTTTCATCAAGGGCCACATTTCTAAACACAGACGAAGCAGAGGGACGATCGAGGGCCGTAGACTGGTGCTCAGTACAGTGAATAATTGAAATATGTGCAGGTTTACCACATTAGAATGAACCATCAGTCATTTATTCACGCTAAGATCCTTAAAACCACTAACACTAACACTAAACATTAAATCTAACTTTATAATATTCGTAGATTTTCAAAAAACTTGCAGAAGAAAGTACATTTTTAATTGATGCAAAGTAATTTGGGCCAATTCACCTGGAAGTCTGAGGGCCAAAAAAAGTTTGTGTCAGGGCCGCATTTGGCCCACGTGCCATAGTTTGGACATGCCTGATCCATGTTGTTGATGATGTTATTATATTCTTTCTTTTTTCCTTTTATAAGATGCCTATTTATGTGTGTGTTATTATTTGTCTAAATTAATAATAATTAAAAAAAAGTCGTCCCTGATCCAAATTTATACAAGAAATGTCCCAGTGTCTCTATTTTGGACCAATTTAATGTTTCCCAACAGTAAAGACAAACATAAACTGACATTTGTTTGGGTAAAATACTGAAAATTTGCTTAAAAATGACCAAAACACAAAGAAAATTTGATTATAATATACTAACAGTTTTCCTTAATTCCACACTTGTTTCACAATTTAATAACCAACCACCAAAAACGAGAGTGTCTCAGTTTTTTATTTTGATATTCTGGTCTCTCTGTCTCGGCTCTGTTCACAACACAAAACCTGAAAACATTTAGAAACATTCAGATGACGACCTCCTCTGGGCTTTTGTTGGCGATAAAAACTTGAGTAACTGTCGCTGCTCGATTATGGAAAAAAATAATTATCACGATTATTTTGGTCAATACTGAAATCACCATTATTTTATTCAGCATTTCTTTCTTAAAAAAACACTTTGTTATTGATAATTTAATCTGGGAAAACTGAAAAAATTGCCCCATTTTCTTCATTCTAGATTAAAGTTGCTCAATTATGGAAAAAAAAACTTTATGACGATTATTTTTTAGTTACACAATGCATTTCTCTCTCTCAAAAAACACATTGTTATTGATAATTTACGCAAAATCATCAAATTTAAAATAAATACAGGCTTCAAATCTGAACCTTAGAACAGTTTTGTGATGTATAAAACATAAAATGAATAAAATAAACTTTGAATTTGAGGCAGAAAAACGTAAATGTGTCCAAAATAAACTGTAAATCCAGCTCTTCTACAATCTCTATGTTTAAAAAATACAATTAATATACTTATTTATATTTTTAAAATCCCCAAATAAACTTTATTTCAACTCGATTATATGAGTTTGAAGATCGTATGAGACACAGAAAATAAAATTAAATTAATTGCACAAACTTAATCTAGATGTCAGTGTGTTTGTTCTTTTCTCCTTTTATAAGATGCTTAATAATTTGTCTGTTATAAAATGTAGGTCAGCAGTTCCAGCCAACTTAAAAAAAAAAAAAAAAAAAAAGCTTTGTCAGGTTGTGAAAAGTGCAGCTGCTGAATCGTCGGTTTAATCACGTGAGTCGGTGGAGTCTCCAGCGGAACTCGTCATCGTCGTGTTTCCAGACATTGTGAGCGCGAAGAAAGAGTTTTACTGAGACTCTGAGACTCCGACTCGACCTGGACTCGACCTGGACTCGACCTGGACTCGACCTGGACTCGACCTGGACTCGACCTGGACTCGACCTGGACTCTGACGTTTCACCGAGTTTCACCAGAACAGAACAAATAAAACACACGAGCTTCTGAACTCAAACTACGACGGCTGATTCTAGAAAGAGTTTTACTGTCTGAGAACAACACCAGGAAACGAAAACTAACCAGGACTAAAACAGGTCTAAACCAGGACTAAAACAGGTCTAAACCAGGACTAAAACAGGTCTAAACCAGGACTAAACCAGAACTAAACCAGGACTAAAACTGGCACTAAAACAGGTCTAAACTAGAACTGAACCAGGTCTAAAACAAGACTAAAACTAGGACTAAACCAGGACTAACAGGACTAAACCAGGACTGAACCAGGACTAAACTAAACCAGGACTAAAAACAGGACTAAACCAACCGGACTAAACCAGACTAAACCAGGACTAAACCAGGACTGAACCAGGACTAAACCAGGAAACCACCAACTGAACCAGGACTAAACCAGGACTAAACCAGGACTAAACCAGGACTAAACCAGGTCTAAACAGGACTAACCAGGACTAAACCAGGACTAACCAGGACTAAAACCAGGACTAAACCAGGACTAAACCAGGAACCAGGACTAAACCAGGACTGAACCAGGACTAAACCAGGACTAAACCAGGACTAAACCAGGACTAAACCAGGACTGAACCAGGACTAAACCAGGACTAAACCAGGTCTAAACCAGGTCTAAATTAGGACTACATCAGGACTAAACCACAATTTAACCAGAACTAAACCAGGACTAAACCAGGACTAAACCAGGTCTAAACCAGGACTAAACCAGGACTAAACCAGGACTAAACCAGGACTAAACCAGGACTAAACCAGGAAAGGACTAAACCAGGACTAAACCAGGACTAAACCAGGACTAAACCAGGACTAAACCAGGACTAAACCAGGTCTAAACCAGGACTAAACCAGGACTAAACCAGGTCTAAACCAGGTCTAAACCAGGACTAAACCAGGACTAAACCAGGTCTAAACCAGGACTAAACCAGGTCTAAACCAGGACTAAACCAGGACTAAACCAGGACTAAACCAGGACTAAACCAGGACTAAACCAGGACTAAACCAGGACTAAACCAGGACTAAACCAGGACTAAACCAGGACTAAACCAGGACTAAACCAGGACTAAACCAGGACTAAACCAGGACTAAACCAGGACTAAACCAGGACTAAACCAGGACTAAACCAGGACTAAACCCTGCTGTGCATATTTTCTTTTGAGGCCAAATTAAATCTGCTGCTTGTGTAAAGAGTTTTGATCTTTACTGTTCATGTAAAACTCCAGTCCGGTCGGTCTCACTGTGGTGGAAGAATCAGGATGAACTTTGGGACACTGCAGACTGTTTCAGGAGAACCACTTCTGTTTTTTTACACTTTTAAAACAGTAAAAAACAAACACAGCTCCTTTAAAAACACTCACCTTCTTAAAGTCCTGCAGATCTGCACTGGCCACGTCTGGTCCAGGTTCACACACACGCTCCTCTTCTGCTCTTTCCTCACCGTCCTCTGGCTCTTTTGGCTCTTCTGGCTCTTTTGGCTCGCTGACATTTTTGTTCTGCGTCTCGTTTGTCTCCTGCTCCGTCCTCGCTGCGTTTGGCTCCTCGCTCTGACCCTCCGTGACCTCATTACCCCCCTGCCCCTCTGCCCCCTCTGCCCCCTGCCCCTCCACGCTCGCTCCAGCCTCCTCGTCCCCGTCTTCGGTGATGACCAGGCGGGTGTCAGCCATGGCGCCCTCCTTTTTAAACGGTTCCTGTGTCAAAAAAGAAAAAAAGCAGCAGCAGCAGCGGCGGCGGCAGAGTCATGAGAGCAGCCGCCTCAGTGGCAAGTATCAACACACTGAATACTTGGAAATGATTAGTGAAGGCGCACTCAGGCCTTTCAGGGCACTAAAACGCATTAGAACCAGTCCGGCAGGTTTTAGCTTGCAGATGTTAAAAGCTCTGAATAGTCGAGCTTCAAGTCAAGAAAAACACGCAGACACGGGAGAGGCTCTGTTTAGTCACAACTGAACTTTACCACCAACACGGAGAGATTTAGGACATTTCCACGAGCCTCTTTTACACTGGGACACTCTGTTTTTGAGCTGTGTACTCAGTGATTTCATCATAACATTTGAGTCTTTTATTTTGAGTCACAACACGAAACGAGTACAAGTATTTCAACATACCTTTAATGTTTCTTCAAATCCATCTGCCGGAGTCTAAAGCACAAAAACAGCCCGGGCCGGACACTGGTCTGGAAGAGAAAAACAAGTCAAAAATGCGGCGCACTTCTCACAGACGCTGAAGAACTGAAGCGTCTTCCTGTTCTCCTCACCACAGCCCCCCACCCCCACGAGTCTCACCCTCATCTCACACGCTACACACACACACGCTACACACACACGCACGCGCACACACACACACACACACACACACACGCACGCACGTCACAGGAGCCGCCGCGGGACAGGGACCGGAGCCGCGGCGGGGTCTGTGCTGCAGGGCGGGCGATGATGGGGTCTGCGCGGGTTCAGTGCTGCAGGGCGGGTTCGGCTGTTCCGGGGGCTCGGGCTGCGGGGAGCCGGGGTCAGAGCGTGTGCAGGGTGCAGTCTGTCACTGCAGCGTGTTGAAACAGGCTCTTCTCGCGGCTGTGGTTTGGCACATCCTGTTGACTCGAGCTGAAAGCAGAAGTAGAGGCAGACAAGAAGAGGAACTTTGACATTTCATGATAAGGTTCAGTCAGCAGCTGCTTCACGGCCTCAAATAAACACAGAATTATGTCTAATATTAAAACAAGTGTGAAGTGTCCCACCGACCCCCCCACAGCAGGACGGGCTGATTATACTTTAACTTTAACCTGTTTCACAAAAACACTGGTCCAAAAGTGTCACAAAACCACGACACGGCCTTATAAGGAAACATAAAACAGTGTGAGGGTTCAGAACAACGCCACAGCAGATCATCTCATTATAATAAACTTCACAGCAGCAGTTAACATGCCGTGCCTCTGACCCGAGCCCTTCTGGGACCCGGTCTGCTGGAAAGTCCTGACCTGAGCTGGACTCTGTGTGTGGACAAATGTCTCCAGCCTCCGGGGAACAGATCTGTGGAGAATCCAAAAATAAAACACCTACTTGTGTGTGTTTAGTGAACATTTGTGACCCCTGACGCCGAGACCAACAGATCATGTGAATAAGTCTCTCTGCCAGTGAACTGCTCTTGTGTCTTTGGGCAAGACACCTTTCCTCTGGTGTCTCTCTGCACACAGGTACATGTGTGACTGATGGAGAGTGAACGGCTCTGGTCCAGGCTCACGACAGGAGGGAGTCTGGACACTGGGCTGTGGTTTAGAGTGACCAGATTTTCAAAATAAATAAAAAACTGGGACACTCGGTTTGTGGAGGTTGGAAATAATAAAATTGTGAAAAGAGTGTGAAATTAAGGAAAGTTGTTGTGCACTTGACACTAATGTCAGTCTGTATAGTCACATTTTCTTTGTGTTTTGGTCGTTTTTAAGCAGCTTTTCTGTATTTTACCTAAATAAATGACATTTTATGTTTCTCTTTGCTGTTGCAGGATCAGATTGGTCCAAAACAGAGACACTGGGACATTTCTTGTATAAAACTGGGACAAACCAGTGGTTTTGTATAAATCTGTTAGGACAGGGGGACACAGGGTCAAAACTGGAACTGTCCCGGGGAAACAGGGACGTGTGGTCTCTCTAGTGCAGTAATAGTCCACATAGGCCAACACCACTGCGGGGCGCACTGGCCCGGACCGGCCTGGATTGGCCCTGATTGGTCCCGGTTGGCCCTGATTGCCCCTGCACGGTGCAGCGCTCGTACCTGTGGTCGATAGGGGAGACTGCAGCCACCTGCCCCTGCCTGCCCCGGCCGCTCCTGCCTGCACCTGCCTGCTCCTGCCCGGCCCTGCCCGGCCCAGCCCGGCCCTGGCTCCTCTGCTGCTGTGGAGTGCGTTGGGCAGCAGTCGTCGCCATTGTGCGTCCGGAGCATGTTGCAGCAGCAGCCTCTCTCGGCCAATGGGGCCTCGAACGGCCGCGGACTCGCCATGAGCGGCCACCCGGGGATGCACTCGCTCGGCTCGGTCCACCAGGCGCCGCAGCACCGGTCCGAGGGAGGAGACCCGGGCCTGGACGGGACGGAAAACGGACACGAAACCCGCAGAGATATCGGGGACATCCTGCAGCAGATCATGACCATCACAGACCAAAGTTTGGACGAGGCGCAGGCGAAGTGAGTGCGGGACTTTGTGGAGTTTGTGGACGAGTTTGTGGAGGTTTTGGTTCGAGCTCCGCTTCGTGTCTCTGAAGTTCAGCCCGTGTCAGAGCTCTGGGTCCGGCTGTGAGAGCAGCGGGGGGACCCGGGACAGCGCGGTTCTCTGTCCCTCCGTGTCCGTGTGTCCCCATGTCCCCATGTCCCCGTGTCCGTGTCCGTGTGGGGGGTTTGACTCGTGTCTTTGGCCAAAAGTTCATATCTGGGCTATTGTTAGCATCCGAGGCTAACGGGGGCTAACGGGGGCTAAGCGGCTAATGCTAACACAAACACCGGGGTTTTTCTGGAGTATTTCACGTATTCAAATAAACACAGGTTCAGTTTCAACAAGTAAATCTAACACGTGGACAGTGTGATTTGTCCCCGGTCTGTCTCCGGTTCTGTCCCCGGGTCTCACGTTAGCACGGGGAGCTAACAGTTAGCCTAGCCGCAGTTTGTTGTTGTTGTTTGTGGCACGCGGGCCTCCTCTTTGTTTACATGTTTAGCATGTGCGGCTAGTCCCGGAGCTAAAGTCTTTTTCTTTCAGGAAACACGCTCTGAACTGTCACCGGATGAAGCCTGCGCTCTTCAGTGTCCTGTGTGAGATCAAGGAGAAGACTGGTACGTCTCCGCTGCGCTTTAGGACACTTCAGGAGGGTTTTTGGACAGAACAGGGTTTGTTTTATTAGTTTATTCAGAAGGATGGAGGGTCACCACTTCAAAATAAAAACAGCTGGATCGTAAATTGTCTTCTAAATCCTAGTGGGACACTTACATTAGGGGGTCCAGAAGTCCCTGTGTCCCCGGGACAGTCTGAGTTTTGAGTCTGTGTCCCAGAAGAGTCACACAAGAATCACTGATTTGTCCCAGTTTTATACAAGAAATGCCCAAGGTGTCCCTATTTTTGACCAATTTTATATACAAATATAGAAACTGTCATTTGTTTTGGTAAAATACAGAAAAGCTGCTTAAAAATGACAAAAACACAAAGAAAATGTGACTCTACTGACTCAGATATTAGTCATGAATGGGCCGAGTGCAGAACAGTTTTCCTTAATCATGCAGTCATTTCACAATTTCTTTTTTTTTATTACCAACCAGCACAAACTGAGAGAGTCCCAGTTTTTAATTTTGATTTTCTGGCCACTTTAACTTACACTGATACAAGAAGATTATTTGCGGGTCGTATTTAGTCGAGGGAGCGTCATAATTGAACTTTGAACAGCACAGTTTTTATAGTCCAATCAGGTTCATCTGTTCTTCCGATATTTTATGTTATTAGGATCTTTTTTCAGACCAAGAGTTTGTTTTCGTACCTGCTCACTCGCGATCTTCCTCAGAGTCTCGTGATGTGTCCGGTCCGCTGATTCAAACAGATTTTGGCACCGTCTTCCTAACGGACACGTCACAGCAACATCCCGAGACTCTGAGGAAGATCGCGAGTGAGCAGGTACGAAGACAAACTCTTGGTCTGAAAAAAGAACCTAATAACATATCACAGCTTTATAAAACATGTGGTTAAATTTGGTCTTATTTTATTTTTGTTTAAAGGAGTCAAATATTCTCTGCACAGAAGGATATTTTCCTCACACACGCGTACATATCTGTTTATCTGCGCACATGAGTTAGAATCACAGAGTCTGTTGAAGTCAGGGTGCGTGTCTGACGTTCGTGCGGCTCCACAGGGCTGTCGATGCGTAACGCGGCGGAGGAGGAGCCCCAGGACCCTCAGCTGGTGCGTCTGGACAACATGCTGCTGGCGGAGGGCGTGTCCGGGCCGGAGAAGGGCGGAGGGGCTGCTGCTGCCGTGTCTGCCGCCACCAGCGCCGGAGGCATGTCCCCTGACAGCTCCCTGGAACACTCCGACTACAAGAGCAAACTGAGCCAGATCCGCACCATCTACCACACCGAGCTGGAGAAGTACGAGCAGGTGAGGCCCAACGCAAAAACAAGCTCCTGGTTGGTGTTGTCCTGGTCCTGGTGTTGTCCTGGTGTTGGTGTTGTCCTGGTGTTGGTGTTGTCCTGGTGTTGTCCTGGTGTTGGTGTTGTCCTGGTGTTGTTCTGGTGTTGTTCTGGTGTTGGTGTTGTCCTGGTGTTGTCCTGGTGTTGGTGTTGTCGTGGTGTTGTTCTGGTATTGGTGTTGGTGTTGTCCTGGTGTTGGTGTTGTCCTGGTGTTGGTGTTGTTCTGGTGTTGGTGTTGTTCTGGTGTTGGTGTTGTTCTGGTGTTGGTGTTGTCCTGTGTTGGTTGTTGTCCTTGGTGTGTCCTGGTGTTGGTGTTGTCTTGGTGTTGTCCTGGTGTTGGTGTTGTCCTGGTGTTGTTCTGGTGTTGGTGTTGTCCTGGTGTTGGTGTTGTCCTGGTGTTGGTGTGTTCTGGTGTTGTTCTGGTGTTGGTGTTGTTCTGTGTGTTGGTGTTGTGTGTTGTCTTGGTGTTGTCCTGGTGTTGTGTTGTCCTGGTGTTTGGTGTGTCCTGGTGTTGGTGTGTTGGTGTTGTTGGTGTTGTCCTGGTGTGGTTCTGGTGTTGGTGTTGTCCTGGTGTTGGTGCTGTCCTGGTGTTGGTGTTGTTCTGGTGTTGTTCTGGTGTTGGTGTTGTCCTGGTGTTGGTGTTGTCTTGGTGTTGTCCTGGTGTTGGTGTTGTCGTGGTGTTGTTCTGGTATTGTCCTGGTGTTGGTGTTATCCTGGTGTTGTCCTGGTGTTGGTGTTGTCCTGGTGTTGGTGTTGTTCTGGTGTTGTTCTGGTGTTGGTGTTGTTCTGGTGTTGGTGTTGTTCTGGTGTTGGTGTTGTCCTGGTGTTGGTGTTGTCCTGGTGTTGTTCTGTTGGTGTTGTTCTGGTGTTGGTGTTGTTCTGGTGTTGGTGTTGTCCTGGTGTTGGTGTTGTCTTGGTGTTGTCCTGGTGTTGGTGTTGTCGTGGTGTTGTTCTGGTATTGTCCTGGTGTTGGTGTTGTCCTGGTGTTGTCCTGGTGTTGGTGTTGTCCTGGTGTTGGTGTTGTTCTGGTGTTGTTCTGGTGTTGGTGTTGTTCTGGTGTTGGTGTTGTCCCGGTGTTGGTGTTGTCCTGGTGTTGTTCTGGTGTTGGTGTTGTTCTGGTGTTGGTGTTGTTCTGGTGTTGGTGTTGTCCTGATGTTTTCCAGTGTACCTCCCTGTGGTGTTGGTGGTGTTTTGTCCTGGTGTTGGTCTTGTGTTGTCCTGATGTCTTGCCCAGTACCTCTGTGTGGTGTTGGTGTTGTCCTTGTGTTGTCCTGGAGTTGTCTTGGTGTTGTTTTTTCCTGGTGTTGGTGTTGTCCTATTGTTGTTTTTTTCCTGGTGTTGTTTAGTGTTGACCTGATGTTTTACCCTATACCCCCGTGTGGTGTTTGTGTTGTCCTGGTGTTGTCTGTCCTGGTGTTGTCTTTCCTGGTGTTGTTTTTCCTGGTGGTGTTTTCCTGGTGGTGTTTTTCCTGGTGGTGTTTTTCCTGGTGTTGACCTGGTGTTGACCTGATGTTGACCTGATGTTGACCTGATGTTGACCTGATGTTGACCTGATGTTGACCTGATGTTGACCTGATGTTTCACCCTGTACCCCCGTGTGGTGTTTGTGTGGCAGGCGTGCACAGAGTTCACCACCCATGTGATGAACCTGCTGAGGGAGCAGTCGCGCACGAGGCCGGTGACGCCGCGCGAGATCGAGCGCATGGTCGCCATCATCCACCGAAAGTTCAGCTCCATCCAAACCCAGCTGAAGCAGAGCACCTGCGAGGCCGTCATGATCCTGCGCTCACGCTTCCTTGATGCCAGGTACTCTGTCCTCTGTCCTCTGAGGTCTGTCAGGTACTCTGTCCTCTGTCCTCTGAGGTCTGTCAGGTACTCTGTTTCTCTGAGGTCTGTCAGGTACTCTGTCCTCTGAGGTCTGTCAGGTACTCTGTCCTCTGAGGTCTGTCAGGTACTCTGTCCTCTGAGGTCTGTCAGGTACTCTGTCCTCTGAGGTCTGTCAGGTACTCTGTCCTCTGAGGTTTGTCAGGTACTCTGTCCTCTGTCCTCTGGATCCCTGTGTCAGTGTCGCTCTGCCCTGTTACCAGGTCTCCTAAAGCAGATCCTGTGGTGGTTTATATATAATAAAATAATAAATAATACAGTAAAAGGAATGACAGTAAAGTTACAGTAAAGTTACAGTAAAGTTACGTGTGATGAACAGTTCACAAAACAAAACATGACTCCTCCATAAAGAACAGAACACACGTCGACCCGGAACAACAACAGAACCAGCTCCGGTGGGCACAGCGCTGGACTGGCATCAACTTTTATTTACTTTACTGGTTTTATTGTTTTAAAACTAGTTTGATTAAATCTCAGTGTTTATTTTATCATTGTTACACAATAGTCAAACCTCGAGCTGAGTTAAAACACAAGGAGAAAAAGTGAGTTTTAATTACAACAGTGCAGTGGAACACAATAGAGTCACGGTGGAGCTCAGTTTAACTTCATATACAATAATAAAATAACACAATTAATTCCAAAAAGATTAAAAAAAAATAAAATTAAATCTATTCTATTCCATCAGAAATGCATTTTATTAATTTAAATTAATGTATATTGACCAAAAATACATTAAAATCACAGAGCTAAACTATTTACAGCCCATAAACTCAGTGGGGCCTTAACTGATACTCAGGGTTCCCACGGTCATGGAAATCCTGGAAAAGTCATGAAAATTTAAATTGTCATTTTCCAGGCCTGGAAAAGTCATGAAGTTTTAGTGTCTCTCTCCCTCAGCTCCAGTGTTGTGTTCAGTTTTCATGAGTCTGTTCTGATTATTTGTGAACGTCTGAGTCTTTTGTTTAAAAGAGACGACAGTAAATGCACTGACAGGATTTAAAATGTTCAAAAACTATAATCTCAAACCATAAAGTGAGAGGAAAGAGTCACATTTCAGATTTACACCTAAAAGTCTGAACAATTCTACACATGTAGGAGCTGTAAAGTTTAGAAATTTTGTCAGTGAAAAAGAGCAGGACCCTGGATATGAAATAGAGGAGGTGGATTATTTTTGGACAATATTCAATAAACAAAACAACCAGGAACAGAAACCAACTCCTCTGACCATTAAACTGTTTAACTGGGTCACGGGAATCATCAGGACTTTAGAGTTTTGATTTTTTTTTTTTCTTTTACTTTTTCACTCTTCTGCAAAACTCTCATCATGGATTTTTTTTTTTTTTTTTTTTTTTTATCAGGCGCAAGAGACGTAACTTTAGTAAACAGGCCACAGAGGTTCTGAACGAGTATTTCTACTCCCACCTGTCCAACCCCTACCCCAGCGAAGAAGCCAAAGAGGAGCTGGCCAAGCAGTGCGGCATCACTGTGTCTCAGGTAACAGACCGCAGGACAGCGCCACCCTGTGCCCAGACGCGCCACTTCACCCCCCCACGTTTGTGACTGTGACTGTGTGAGTGACGGAGGTGGGAGGGGCCGACGGCGCAGACGGGCAGCCTCGCTTCTGTCAGTGTGTCCCAGGGCAGCTGTGGCTACGGTAGAAGCCACCTCAGAGTCGCCACGTTTACATGAGAGCTTTAACTCTGAATAAAACTAATTTAATTCTGAATAAAACTAATTTAATTCTGAATAAAAATGAATTACGCTTTAAAAAGATCATGTAAACACTTAATTCTGGGGAAGTAACAAGAACTGAAATATGGTGATATCGTATCGTCAAAGTTCTCACAATAATATCGTGGACCATCACCAGTGTTGGAGTAACAGATTACATGTACCGGAGTAATGTAATCAGAGTACAAATGGTGAGTAACTGTATTCAGTTACAGTTACTGTTTCAGTGGTAATTGGATTACAGTTACTTTGTTGAAATAAATGGATTACAGGGCGGGATTTTCCTGTTTTCACATTTTGGGCTAAATCCCCCCCCCCCTCCCCCCCCCGGTAATTTCACTCATTGCTGGAAACTAAACTAGATCTAAACCAGGTCTAACCTAGATCTAAATCAGGACTAAACCAGGACTAAACCAGGATTTAACAGGACTAAATCCTGCTGTGTGGACGTGTTTCCTCGTTTTCTATCAATAATATTTTTAATTTGGTTCAGTAAAGTCTGGACTTTTTATTTTCTTTTATCAGACAAAACTTCTTATGTGAAGATTTCCTCGTCTTTGTTTCTCTACAGCAAATCAAGTAATCCAAAGTAATCAGATTACATTACTCACTTTAAGTAATTTACTGGATTTACGTTACAAACTACATTCTGGGGTATGTAATCTGTAGGGGATTACATTTTAAAAGTAAACTTCCCAACTCTGACCATCACAATATATCGAATCTCAAGTCTCTCAAAAAAAGCTAAAAAAAGACAGAGGAAACTACATAGACCATGATCCTTTGCTCCATTTCAGTTCAGACGACAAGAAGAAATAACAGTTTTTAAATAACACTTTAAAATCTTAGTTCTTTGGATTAAATCTTGTCAAGACATTTAAAAAAAAAAGTAGAATAATCACAGTTTTATCTGTCTGGCCTCCACAAAATATCTCAGTAAGTATTGTACCATGAGATGTACATCGTGAAAATATCATGAAAACACCTGAGACGTTCTGAAGTGTTGCGTTTGTCTCCAGGTGTCCAACTGGTTTGGAAACAAGAGAATTCGCTACAAGAAAAACATCGGCAAGTTCCAAGAGGAGGCCAACCTGTACGCCATGAAGACCGCGCTCGGAGCGAGACAGGGAGACGACTCCCCGCACACCCCCAACTCCACCGGCAAGTCCCCCTCTGTGTCCCTCACATCCCTCTGTGTCCCTCACATCCCCCTCTGTGTCCTTCAGGTCTCCCTGTGTCACTCTGTGTCCTCCTCTGTCCCTCAGGTCCCCCCTCTGTGTCCTTCGGATCCCCCCTCTGTCCCTCTGTGTCCGTCTGTGTCCCTCTGTGTCCGTCTGTGTCCGTCTGTGTCCGTCTGTGTCCCTCTGTGTCCCTCTGTGTCCCTCTGTGTCCCTCTGTGTCCCTCTCTTGTCTTGTGGCTGTGGTTTGAGTGTTTGTGGGTTTTGTTCCAGGCTCGGGTTCGTTCTCTCTCTCGGGTTCGGCCGACATGTTTCTGGGGGTTCCTCCTGTGAACGGAGACCCGTCTGCTTATCCACTGGGAGCACAGGTAACACGCAGCTCAAAGGGAACACGCAGCTCAAAGGGAACACGCAGCTCAAAGGGAACACGCAGCTCAAAGGGAACACGCAGCTCAAAGGGAACACGCAACTCAGCCAAAAGTGTCCCGCTGTACGTTTGTGGAGCTTCAGGTTAAGGTTTTCTGTGTAAATGTGTGTGTGTAAATGTGTGTGTAAGTGTGTGTGTGTAAGTGTGTGTGTAAATGTGTGTGTAAGTGTGTGTGTGTGTAAGTGTGTGTGTAAGTGTGTGTGTGTGTAAATGTGTGTGTAAGTGTGTGTGTGTGTGTGTGTAAATGTGTGTGTGTAAATGTGTGTGTAAGTGTGTGTGTGTAAATGTGTGTGTGTAAGTGTGTGTGTGTGTAAATGTGTGTGTGTAAATGTGTGTGTGTGTGTGTAAATGTGTGTGTGTAAGTGTGTGTGTGTGTAAATGTGTGTGTGTGTAAATGTGTGTGTGTAAGTGTGTGTGTGTAAATGTGTGTGTAAGTGTGTGTGTGTAAGTGTGTGTGTGTGTGTGTGTAAGTGTGTGTGTGTGTAAGTGTGTAAGTGTGTGTGTGTGTAAGTGTGTGTGTAAGTGTGTGTGTGTAAATGTGTGTGTAAGTGTGTGTGTAAATGTGTGTCGTATTCAGTTTCATAAATCTGCTCCATCACCAAATCTTCAACCAACAAACTCCACAAAGGAGAAACATTCTTCATGAACAATTTATCCACAAATATCAAGAGAAGGTTTGACTATCCCAGATTTAAAACTTTTTCAAGACCTTTTAAAAACCATTTAAATGAAAATTAAGACCAACATCCCACCAATTATGCGGCAAAAAACACCAGATCCAATTAAAATAAAGACCAAACAAGTGCTGCGTCTAGAATCTAAGAGCCTCTGTGGATTAAAGCTGCTCTTCCTCATGATCCAACGTCTCCTCCACTCGACTGATGTTTACTCATTTCTGCCAGTGCCACAAATCAAAGTATTATTTGCACAAACTCAAAATTAGACGTTTATTTACATTACATGATTTCACATTGTTGTTTTTTCTCCCTTCATTTAACATTGCCCTACAGCTCGGCTGAGTTTACAAAAAATAAAATGAAATTTAAGACCTTTGTGAAAAAATAAGACTTGGACAACAGAATTTAAAACCTTTTTAAGACTTGTTACCAGTGTCGGGAGTAACAGATTACATGTACCGGAGTTACATAATCAGAGTACAAATTATGAGTAACTGTATTCAGTTACAGTTACTGTTTCAGTGAGTAGTAATTGGATTACAGTTACTTTGTTGAATTAAATGGATTACACAGAGGGATTTTACTGTTTTCACATTTTGAGCTATATCCCTTTTTTTTTCTTTTTTTTTCTTCCCCCGGTAATTCCACTCATTCACGGAAACTAAACCAGGTCTAAACTAGATCTCAGTCAGGTCTAAAACAGGTCTAAAACCAGGTCTAAATTAGATCTAAATGAGATCTAAACCAGGTCTAAAACTGGTCTAAAACCAGGTCTAAACCAGGACTAAACCAGGATTGAACAGGACTAAATCCTGCTTTGTGGACGTGTTTCTTCGTTTTCTATCAATAATATTTTTTATTTGGTTCAGTAAAATCTGGGCTTTTTATTTTCTTTTATCAGACAAAACTTCTTTGTTACGATTTCCTCATCTTTGTTTCTCTACAGCAAATCAAGTAATCCAAAGTATTCAGATTACATTACTCACTTTAAGTAATTTAATGGATTCTGTTACAAACTACATTTTGGGGTTTGTAATCTGTAATCTGTAGGGGATTACATTTTAAAAGTAAACTTCCCAACACTGTTTGTTTCCCTGTAAATGGAGAATGACGAAGACACATTAGTGAACGACTGAGCAAAACTCATGTTCAGGTCGTAGAGACGAGTCACATTTAAACTGCACGGGTCTGTGTCTGTGTAAATCTCCACATCATCAAATCCATTTTTAATTTTATTTCTAGAATCAGTCTGATTCTAACAAGTTCCTTACACTGTACTGTCAGAAGTTTAGTCTCACCTGCCTGGACTCGCATATGAATTTAGTGACATCCTGTTCTTAATCCAGACGCTTTAATCTGACGTGGGTCCAGACTCGTTCATGGGAGTGTTGGAGCATCTTCCTAAAGAACATTTGTGAGGTCCACACTGATGTTGGACAGAAGGTCTGACTCTCAGTCTCCGCTCTAATTCATCCCAAAAGTGTTCGATCGGGCTGAGGTCCCTGAGTTCTAAACCCTGTGGACACTTTCCCAGAAGAGCTGAAGCTGTTCGAGCTGCAGAAGGTGAAACCACAACATATTAAACCTTCTAGATTAAGAACAGGAGGTCACTTCAGTTCATGTATGAGTCAAGGTGAGAGAAAACTTTTTGCAGCACAGTGTGTGTTTTCTCCAGGATCAGAACATGAGTTGAGTTTGTTGTGTGACTCGTGGCTCGTTGTTTCCTTTAAGTTTTGTTCTTTCTTCTCTTGATATTTGTGGATAAATTGTTCATGAAGAATGTTTCTATTTTGTGGAGTTTGTTGGTTGAAGATTTGGTGATGGAGCAGATTTATGAAACTGCACTGCACATTTACACACACATTTACGCACACATTTACGCACACACTTACACAAACACATTTACACAGAAAAACATGAACCAGAAGTTCCACAAACCTCCAGCGGCACATTTCAGACGATGGGAAAAGTCGATTCTTTGACTTGAGTTTATGGTCAGTCGTCTGAACCTGTGTTCTGTTTGTTTCAGGCCAACGGGAGCTGGCAGGGCAGAACTACGCCCCCTTCTGGATCCCCACCACACAGCGACCTGTCAGAGCAGTCGGACTGAACCAGGACTGGACCAGGACTGGACCAGTTTTGGACCAGAACTGGACCAGGACTGAATCAGGACTGGACTTATTGACCACTGGGCTGCCCTCTCTCTTTTTATTGATTGTGTTTAACCACTTGGCGTTCCCTGCGTTTGTTTTCGGGAGTGCATGAATGTTGGCGTCTGCGTCAGTGTCTGCGTCTGCGTTGGCATCGGTGTCTGCACTGGCATCTGCGTTGACGTCTGCGTAGGCGTTTGCGTTGGCGTCTGCATTGGCGTCTGCATTGGCATCGACGTCTGCGCTGGTGTCGGTGTCTGCGTTGGCGTCTGCGTTGATGTCTGCGTTGGCGTCTGCGTTGACGTCTACGTTGGCGTCTGCGTTGGCATCGACGTCTGCGCTGGTGTCGGTGTCTGCGTTGACGTCTGCGTTGATGTCTGCGTTGGCGTCTGCGTTGACGTCTGCGTTGGCGTCTGCGTTGGCATCGACGTCTGCGCTGGTGTCGGTGTCTGCGTTGGCGTCTGCGTCGGTGTTGACGAGCATGCGGCGTGGGGTCTGGGGCTTACGGTGAACTACCTTTAAACGAGATGTATCGTGCTGAAAAGACTTTTAATCATGTTCTGTTGGTTTCTCATTTTTAAACGCGTGTCTGTTTGTCACAGGTTTTTCATAGTTTTTAGTGATGATGTTTGTGTTTTACGATTTGCTGCAGCTACTTAACCAACTGAAACCAGGAAGTGCCCCGTGTCTGTGCAAAGGCCACACTTTCACTTTCACTTTCACTCCAACGAGTCCGTTTGTCCAGTCACTAAATTCACAGTTGCCACTAGAGGGCGTCATAAACCAAGCACTGTCTGTACGAGCTCACGCGGCGCCTGAATGAAGCCAAACGTGTCCTTTAGCGCCTCACTCGCCACGTTTACACCACACTCCTGATTCTGAATGAAAATCATTTAATTCTGGAAAATAAAAAAAAAAGATTCTGTTTTAAAAAGTCCATGTAAACACTTAATCCTCATGAAAATGATTATTCGGAATTAAACTTAAAATTAATTTTGAACTAAATGGGAGGTTTATTTTGATTTTAAAGTCGAATTCATTTATACCTTGATCTTGTAAACCAGTTCCCCGACCTTTTTTTGTACCACAGACCCGTTTTATGTTCCACAATATGTCGTGGACCAGGAAGGGGGATTAAATCCTGGTTAAATCCTGGTTTAGACTTGGTTTAGTCCTAATTTAGACCTGGTTTAGACCTGGTTTAAAGACGTGGCCTGATACTAAACGACTGTGGGCCTGGGGGTTGGGGACCCTGATGTTTCTTGTTTCTTCTTGTTAAAATAATGTGGGTGCTTCGTGCTCGTTGTGTCGTCCTTCTGACACAAACAGGTTTGTCTTCTTCCTCCTCTTCCTCAGATCACAGACGTAAAGTGTGATGAGACGATTCTCCAGCTGCTGCTTCATGATCATCAGAACCACTGCACGAAAAGTTTGGAAGGTGTTTGTGTCAATTCAGAATTTTAAAAAAACATCATGTAAACGTGGCCAGTGAGCAGCGCGCAGGAGTGGGTGGGGCCAGGGCGGAGTGGGCGGGGCCATGTTTATTTCTACACTCGCTGTTTTGGTTTGGTTTGGTTTGACCAGCCCAGAGAGGATGCACCAGGAGAGAGCAGGAGAAGCGACAAACCCAAAGATGTGTGTGTGTGTGTGTGTGTGTGTGTGTGTGTGCACGCGCGTGTGGGTGTGTGTGTGTTGTGTGTGTGCGAGCGTGTGTGTGTGTGTGCGTGCGTGTTTTACGTGACGTCTTCTCTGTACAGTCCACACCTGTATTCTCTCTACCTCTTTTACAATAAACTAATGTGTATTCACACACACAGAGTCTGAGTTTTTCTTCTGAAGCTTCTGTTTATATAAACACAGACCTGCACAACTCAGGTCATGATCTAATGTTCCTTAAACACAGACCTGCACAACTCAGGTCATGATCTAATGTTCCTCCTCAAACACAGACCTGCGCAACTCAGGTCATGATCTAATGTTCCTCAAACACAGACCTGCACAACTCAGGTCATGTTCTAATGTTCCTCAAACACAGACCTGAGTTCTGTGTAAATCTTTGTCCGTCTTATTTTCTGACGCTGTACGTGTGCAGGCGCGTGTCCCCGTCACACACACACAGCATGTTCTGTTGTGTGTCCGGGGCAGGTGTGTGTGTGTGTGTGTGTGTGAAAGTCTCAGGTTATAAACTCTGTTATTAAAGCTTTAAAATTATTTTTTGAAATCCTGGTGTTTGTCCTGATCAGTTTGTACAGAAAGTCAAAACTGTTCAGTCACACACACACACAGAGACACACACACACACACACAGGTTTGACGCGCGGCTCTGGTTTCGCGCTGTTTTTTCTTCCCTGTGAGTGACGCAGTAAAGTGCGCACGTGCAGTGGGCTCGTTTCCTCTTGAGGTCAGAGGTGAGAGGCGCGCGGAGTCTCGCGCTGTGACCGCGACACAAACGTGACGCATGCGCCGTTTAGTCTGGAGGCTCGTGTTGTGCAGATGTTTGTTCTGGTTTAGTTTTGGTTTTGTTCTGGTTTTGTTCTTGATCCAGACCCGGACCTGCTCACAACAAACATCAGTTTCATGTGTCACTGTTCAACAGGAGACTCGAGGCTGCAGCGCCTCCACGCGGCCGCGAAAAGAAACACGTGAAAAATACAAAACACTTTTATAAAATAAACTTCAGTACGAAGTTTGTGAAACTGCAGCGTCACGTGGGAAACGTTTCAGCGCGGAAACATTTACAGAGTTCAGTGATTTTAAATCAAGTAAATGAAGTGTGGGAGAGTTTTGGTTGAAGAGCAGCGCGCTGAGAGTCACGTGCTGCTGCCAGGACAGAATCAAGTCTCCTCCGTGGACCGGACACGCGCGGACGTGAACATTAAAGATTTAACACATGAAAAACAAAGACATGATATAAAAGTGCAGCTCAGTGCCCGCGTCCACGTGCACGCGCCTCACACAGAGCGGAGCCTCTCGGGCACGCGCACGTGCGCTCTGGAAACACTGTCCAAACTAACACGTGCGTGACATCCGTGCGCGTGCGTGCATTAGGAACGTGAGTCAGTGAGACTGAGCAGCGCTCGTGCGCAGAATGCACCGCGTGGGAAAACGCACGAGCTCCGTTTGGTCTTTACGCACGTGTCAGATTTGGACCTTTCCACAGGCGCGCGCTTTGGCGCGTCAGCGCGAGGAACCTTTTGGTGTCACCGGCGCCCACGTGAGCTCCTTCCAGTTTGACCAGACGGCCCCGCGAGGACGAATCTCCCACGCCACGCGCGCCACAAGGAGCTGCGCGCGCTTCGTCCGTGCGCACTGGCACCGCTCAGTGTAACTGTGCCACACGTGCGTAACGACGCCACAAACGAGATTATTTCAGACAGAAACTGTTTTTATGTTTGTAAAAATATGAGATTTAGTTTTGACTCTGAGCAAAGTTCAGAATCAATAAAAGTGTGAAATAAACACAGGAAGCACGTGCGTCCTCTTGTGCGTAATGACGCAAACTCAGACTCTGGTGTGAAGCTCGTGGCGGTGACTCCAGGGGAAACAGCGCGGTCATTTTATCCACATTTTAAGTTTTGTTGTTAAAACTCAAGATTCATTAAACAAAAAACCTTTGGGGAATTGTCAGAAAGTTACTTTTTAAGTAAAAGGTAAAGAGGCGGATCGCAGCAGCGTGTGTGTGTGTGTGTGTGTGTGGGGGGGGGGGTCCCACGCGCACCTCCCACTGAGGCTCCAAAGTCCGCACGTGTCGCACTTGCGTAAAAACCAAACGGAGCGTGGACATTTTCCCACAAGGCACGAGTACAGCGCTAAAACAAACCGTGCGCAGACTCTGGCGCAGAGCGCAGTCACGTGCGTCATGTCACCAAATCACCAAGTTAAGAGCCCATTACGCTTGCGTAACCCCTGTGCCGTGCGCAGCAGGAGGCGCGCGCTCCTCATGTCTTCTTTTTAAATGTAAATGAAGTGAACGCACGTGCTTTGTAAGAGCGCGTGCCATTTCAGTGCGTAAAAGCGCACGAACATGACGTAAAAGTGGAAGAATAAAAGTGTAAAGACTGAACCAGTTTGACTTTTGTAAAACTTTATCTTGTTATTTTCTATGTTCTACGTCAGTGTGACGTCACAGCGTTCAGCGTCACGTGAGGCTCGTGATGTTCACGTCACAGGAGAATCTGGAGTCTGTTATGAACACGATTTATTTTGACGGACAAAATAACGTAAAAAAAAAAAAAAAAAAAAGTCAGGATGATGTGTCGCGGGTGAATCTGAACATTTAAAACCAAAATGTGGAGGCCAGAGCCGCAGGAACAGAAGAGCCACAAGAGCCAAATGTGAGTCACAGGAGCCAGAAGGAGCCGGAAGAGCCTCCTGAGCACTTCCTGTTCGGCACGCGGCGGTTAGAGCGTTAACTATGTCCACTCATAAATACGGTCCATGTTTGTACGAACATGGTCCACTGTAGATGCTCAGTGCGCAGGCGCAGTGAAAGGACACGGGTTTGAAACACGGTGGTCACGTGACACAGACGCGCAGGTAAAACTCACTCTAAAAACACGAACATGAGTGTGACTCCTGAAGTGTCTCGAGGACGGGGGGGGGTCCGCCTCATGGGGGGGTCCATGAGACTCGAGAGCCGCAGGAGCAAAAGTGAGCGCCAGGTGAGTGTGTCCTGACACGCGCCGCGTGCACGTCCCCGCGTGCACGTACTGACCCTCTCGTGTCTCGTAGATCATCAAACCGCTGCTGGAGAAACGGCGCAGGCGCAGAGACAGAGTCACCGAGACCGAGAGTCTCACGCGGCTCCGGAGCCTCGTGCTGCGCGCGCAGGTAACACACGCACGCACACACGCTCTTCTCCCGTCACACGCACGCGTCTCTAACGGGGCTTTTGCTGATTTCAGGGCGGCGCGCGGCGCAGGGTGGAGGAGGCGGAGATCCTGGAGCGCACGGTCCACTTCCTGACGGGCCGGAGCGGCGGCCCCCGCGGGGCCCCCGGGGCCACTCGGAGCAGCCGCACGTGTCATTTCAGGACGGTTTCTCGGCCTGTCTGCGCAGAGCCGCGAACTTTTTGGAGCGCGGAGAGGCCGCGCGGCTCGCTCTGGCGCTGGACGCGGCGCTGTCGCGGCGGGGGGCGGGGCCTTGTACCGTGTACCGGGAGCGCACACGGAGGCGCGCTCATCGGGAGCGCGATCACGAACAGTTGTAAAATCCAGAAAGACGCAGCGCGCGGACAGAGCGACAAGCCGCGACTCGCGCCGCAGAGGCTGTGGAGGCCGTGGCCAGAGTCGGCGTCAGAGCACATGTACTGGAGGGGCGTGGGTCACCAGCAGGGGGCGCACTGCCATTTGAGAAATATTTTAACGCGGTGGAGTCAGACACAGCAGACATGCTTCAAACACGTTTTTCTTTAACAGTATTAGGCTAATTATGTGTTGTTATTATAATCATTATTATATTAAGATTATTATTATTATTAGCTGCAGTAGTTGTTGAGGCTGTGGTGGACGATACAACACAAGACAAGAATAAAAGGTTGAGGTTTATTAAAAAACAATAAGTCCTGCCACTGGTTGTAAACATTAAACAACAGCCTCTCGTCAAAAACACCTCTGAACTAGAAATAACCACGTCAGACACCAGGGCTGTAGTGAACGTGGTACACGAGTCGCCGTCCAGTCCAGTCCTATAGAGACCTGAGACTTGAGGGACCGGGACTAAACCAGGACTAAACCAGGACTAAACCAGGACCAGTGGCGGCTGATGGTATAATTTTTGGGAGGGGCACCAAGGGCAAAATTATAAATATATATTATGAATAATATATGTATTATATATATAGGCTGTAGTATTATAACAAATACCAGAAACAGACATTTTGGTTAGTTTTGACTGAACAGTATCGATCAGAGCACAATGAACAGCCAAGTGCAAACTTTATGCAACAACACAACGTAACACAACGTAACACAACGTAACACAACGTAACACAACGTAACACAACGTAACACGCCGCTCACACCCAGACCCAACGTCAGTAAAACTACAATAAGAGACATGAACACAGATGCCGCTCCTACAGCACACGACAGAACAACCAGAGCAGCTCCAACATGTACACCAGCTCATTTACGAACTATTAACTATTAACACTATAACACTATTAACTATTAACACTATAACACTATTTAACTATTAACACTATAACACTATTAACTATTAACACTATAACACTATTAACTATTAACACTATAACACTATTAACTATTAACACTATAACACTATTTAACTATTAACACTATAACACTATTAACTATTAACACTATAACACTATTTAACTATTAACACTATTTAACTATTAACACTATAACACTATTAACTATTAACACTATGACACTATTTACCTGTGAGGCTCCAAGTTCAGATTTGCCGCAAACTAATGAAAACCAGCCTCTTCTTCTCCAGAGACTGAAGCAGAGTGTTTCCTCTGTCCACTGTCCCACTGGTTCTGTTTCCAAAAGTTTATTGTCCAATATGACGAGATGAAACTGGTCCAAATCCTGGTCCAGTCTGGTCCGTGACGCGAGGTCCGGGAGTCGAGTGCACGAGCGGTTGTAAAATGAGTCTTAATCCCACTTCCCACTGAAATCTGAAAGTTACAGTCGGTCCACATCAGCACCAGGGAGAATTATGCCTCTGCGCTACGCTCAGGTCAAACTTTTACACCCAGAAACGAGCGGGTAAAGGCGGATAGAGCAGCGAGCGACTGACCTGGCCCCGGCGGCAGCAGCGAGAGTCCCGACCCGGTAG